TCCTCTTATCACCCTCTCCTCTCCTCTCCTCCTCTTCTGTCCACCCCTCTGCTCACTCATCCTTTCCTCTCCTCTCCTTTGTCTCTTTTCTTCTCCTCTCTTTTATATCCTCTTTTCTCCTCTTATCACCTCCTTCTTTCCTCTCCCGCTCTCCTCCTCTCCTCCTCTCCTCCTCTCCTCCTACAGTAACATGCACTGCTGCTTTCTTCCACCTCCTTCTCTTTGACGGAAATAAAAGCTGTGTCTCTCTGCTTCTGTTTTTGCGCCGTGCTTTGTTCCCTGAAACCAGAGAGAGATCTTTTATCTTCGTGGAGTACGCATGTCGTGTGCCAAGTGCCGGAGCGGAGCACTTAACAAATCTTTTTTTTTCTTTTTGTTTAAGACAAATTCCAAAAAAAACAAAACTAGATTTTTTTTAAAGTACGTTAGACTTATCTTGTATTTTGATAGTATCTAAATCTTCAACACTGCTATTACATTTAACCATTACCATTTAACATTTCATATTTATAGCTTCAGCAGAGGTTGAATTTAGGTTTTGTGAACAATTGCCGTCACCGAGTGGACAAACGCAGACATGTCGTCATGGCAACTTCATTTTGCATCTATTATTTTGACTATATTGGCACCTTTTATGTATGAACTGAAACTGCAATTAAAAGGCCCCTCTGCATGTGTGCTTCTGAATCTAACCCAGTCTGTGTGTGATTTTCCAAAGTATTTATTACATCCATCTTTTTTCATGATCACCTGATGCCAAAATACTGTATATCACATCTGGAAGACAAGATTTTTGCCCACTATTTTTGACCCATTGTTTTCAGGTTGCATACACACATAGCTACCTATGGAGCCATGCAGGGGCTCAAGGCAAGGGGTCTACCATAGTCACGGGCCTATCAGAATGAAGGAGGGGAAAAAAGCGTTGATTTTTATGTCAAATGCGTTACTTTGCGCCACAACTAAGCCATAAACGCATCGATGTGTTCCAGTAAGATCTGCCCTATCAAATATCATTGATTATATAACATCTTGCCTGAAAGATGTGATTCATTTTGTATTGGCTTAAAACTAAAGTGGTACTTTATAATTAGTATATTAGGAAAAAGTGCAGTACATGATCTTTGGTTTTATAATTGTTTGTTGTTTGTATATTGACACAATCACAATTATGGACATTGGTCGTCGGCCCCTTTTTGGACTAATAGCTCCATTGCATTTCTTATGTATTCATTTCTTATTTATTTGGTTGAGACAGTATGTTAATGAACACATCTCTCTGGATTGTAGCCTTGGGCTGATGTGCATCCGTTGTCGCTTGTGTTTGACCTGTTTGATTCTCTGATCTGGGTTGGTAAAGTCCTACGAGATGACGACTATTGTGATTTAGGGCCTACAAGAATACATTGAGTTGAATTGAATTGAGTTGAGTTGAACTGTATAATGCAATGCAAAGGTTTGGGGCATTTACGGTCACCTTAAGTTATGACCTTTTGAAGTCATTGAATGAAGCAGTGGAATGAGACTTTACTTTCCTTAAGTTTTGTATTGAAGAGAAAATACTTTTATACTTTTCATTTTCATGATGAAAAAAAATCCAACAAAAACAGCATTTGGTAATAACCTTGAGTGAGTTGAATAATTTCCCGTCTTAATTCTTGCAGAAGTGTTACATCAGAAAACCATCTTCATTCTTGTCCTCTGAACAATGTCACTGATGGACCAATCCTGAATAATTTTTGAATAGAACATTTTTCATCAAGCTTATCTCAGTTACTGTAAAGATTTCATTTCATAATATCCCTCAGAAAATCCACTCCTAATTATCTGCATCAAAGTTTTTCATGGCCTTATTATGATGTTTCAGACCAGTTCTGTGCTGCAGAGGATCAGCTCAGAACACATATGGTTTAGGAGACCAGATGAAGCCAGGTTTATTATTAACAACCACAAATATTGACACTATATAGAAAGAGGTTAGAAAAAAGAAACAGGTATTTATACATTTTCTTCTATGCTATGGAGCTCCACCAAGAAATATGTTCTAGAACATAATTATGGGAACATATGAAGATTGGAAATGCAGACACACACTATTTTTATGTTTAAAGATTCCTTCATATCAAACTTACTTTAGAAATTATTACTTTAGAAATTAAAATTTAGTTTTAATTTAAATTAGCTTATCTTGAAAATCCACACAATAGTTGCCTGTTATGCTGGTTTTGGCAATGTTTTATTTGGATAGGAAAGCTTGAGCCGGTCAGAGCTCAAAAGATAAGCAGGGTAGGGCCTGGTTAGTGCTGTGATGGGAGACCTCTGCAACACCAGGTGTGAAGTGCCAAACTGTCCTTAGGCAAGGCACTTCACCCAAATTGCCCAGTATGAGTTTGGTGTGTGAGTGATTGGTGATGGTCTGAGGAGCCAATGGCACAGACTAGTAGCCTTGTTTTCGTCGGTTTGTCCCAGGGCGATTGCGGCTGCAGTAGTGTTCAAAGTGTATAATGATACCTTTGAGTGTCCAAACAAGCAATATATAAAACTATAGACTTGTATACTGTATTTGCACAAACACATGGTTGCTGTCTCTAAACGGGGCGTACAAGGAGACTTGCAAATAAACTCAAACATAGCACTGATGTGTGTGTGTCACAACACAATCTTCCTCCCTGCAGGTGAAGTCGTCCCCCACTGAGCGTCACTTTGTAATATTGCAGCAGATTGCAGGTAGTTACACCACACAGACTGAGGTGAGCTCGTCTTTATGCCCTGAATAAAGTCAAACCTCTGCACTGTACAAAGTCAGCAGAAGTACAAAACCACATACATACTCGTGTGACTTGCATTTGGATGAGAAGATCTTATTGTTGTGAGAGCTGGGAGAGAGATGTAACCTTTTATGATATAATGAATGCAGTTGCCCCAGCATAGATAACCATATGCTTCCTACTCAGGGGTTAGGCGTGGATTTATGCTCGGATGTTTATCGCGACCTTTGCATCCTGGAAATGTCAACATAGATCAGCCATTAGAGGTGTAATGTCTTTTTTATTGTTAAAACCAAACTTACCGACAAAGCACATTCATCAACAGTAATGAAGATATATTCACCTTTTTCAATAGGCCTAATAGGATTCATTCATCACTGACCTATTGTGTCTCTACATAAGGCCAGTGGCACCGTCAATATGCTACACCGCACTAATAATTCCATCATTGAGAACCACAAATAGTAGTGTTGGTTTAATAGGTGTCACTCCACAACTTAAATCCTAATTAATATTGAAAAATGGGCCTATTAGTGCACACAGCATTAGCACGAGCAGAAGGTGGCAGCCTTTGTGGTTGCTACACGACAGGATCATGCCTGAGAGGAGTAATGTGCCCCTGATCTCCCAACTCTACTGAAGCAGTATAATTGAATTCACTAAGCGCCTCTATGTCAGCCAGGTGCAGCCGGGAGAATAATGACCAGGTTGTTTTTTAATAGTTATTTGGATGACAGACAGAGAGGTGCAGGCACATGAAGAGAGAGCTCTGACACTTGAGCTCTATGTGATGTGTGCTCCCCCTGTTGGTCAGAACTCTGCACTGCAGCCGGAGCCACACCCCCCAACTTAAATGTGCAATCAATTAAATGTTTGATTGAGAATTGAATGATTACTTTTATTTGTGGGCATTCAAACAACTAACCTTGATTAGTTTAGTGAGTCTATATCCTCATGCTGTAACAAGTACAGATGTTTACATGCAACTATTTATTTCTTGTACTAGAATATGCAGTACTTTTTACTTACTTCTTATTACGCAAAAGTCAGAGATTGTATACTTAATTCTTGCTTGTTCGTTGTGATAAAACACGCTAAAGCGTGTTTTATTTTATTTTGTTGAGTTATTGTTAATTTACCTTGAGCTGTGATGGTGATGCAAAACTGAAATTTCCATTGTGGGACGAATAAAGGATCTCTTAATAAATTTGTGTAACCTCATTGAATAGAATGTTATAAAGCCTAAACATGTTTGTTCTTCTGTTTGTTTTGAAATTTAGAACAAAGAGAAAACTTTTGAAATGGCATCTACATTTATCCACCAAAATATATGATTATTTACTATTTCTACAAGTTAAAGGTGATCTCAGCAACTTCAATTGTATTTCAGTTTAAAAAAAATATAGAATTCTGACCGTGGGGCTTTTGCTTTTACTTTTGCTTCTGTCAGTCCAGGGCAGCTGTGGCTACAGAACTTGCTTATCACCAACGACTATGGAGCAAAAGAATAACGCCATGTGAAGCGGCGTTGATTGTCCAAAAAAACCTATATTAAACCAATACATTATTATTATCACAATTGTTTGAGTTCGATGTGGCTTGGATAGTTCTGGGTCACCATATTGCAATATTTTGTTAGTATATTTTCAACAAGACCTTATAATATATATGTATATTTTTTGTATTTGAATACTTACATATATTCTGCACCATAGAGCAAGCACTGTATCCGCACTCTTACGCAACAATTACAGTGAGGGAAAAAAAGCAGGTGCAGGGAGATTCTGTACAACATATATCATTATATATATAAAAAAAAGAGAAAAAAAAAAGTATGGCTCAAAAACTTTTGTTCCCGGTGTCTTTCTATAGTTTTCCATAAAGCATACATATGTAAATAAATAAATGTAAACAGCTCATTTAAATACTTTTGTACTTTATGTTTTGTGTAAAGACGGGCATACATATGTGCCCATCTTTACACAAAACTCTACAAATACAATACATTCAATCAATAAATTCCTTTTCAATATTCTACACTTTAAACAATTGAATAGTTCTATAATAGATCCATGAACCAGACTTATACTTGTAACCATATCCATCACATTCCTCCCCCCTCCACTGCCCCCCTGTGGCGGCACTTACAAACAAACCCTCTTCCATCACCTGTATTCACCACCGTCACTTTTTCTTCCTTTTTACTTTTACAGACTTCAACAGAGTAGAGCGATGTCTGCTTTCACGGAAACAAAAGACACAGTGAAGTCCTCCCCTCCGCCTCATACGTCTTCCACTCCCTCCTTCGCGTGGCTTGAGGTTGACAGATCCGCGTGGCCTTGCTCGCTGACCCACACCGGCAGTATGTCTGAGCCTAGAGCCGTGCCAGTGAACGCCACACGCCCTACAGTTTCAGGGTGGGGGGGTGGAAGAGGGGGGGATAGACAGGTGCCGACTGTCATCTTGTTAACACTGGGGAAGGGAGAGGTGCTTTTTTGGCTCCCCCATCGCCGCAGCCATGGCACATATGTGGCACGCGGCCCTTGGCACAGCGTCACTGGCATAGATGCATGTGATGTGAGGTGGGAGAGCCCTGTGTATTAGTATGAATGATTCTACGGCTTTAAATGATGCATGGCCCTCCTTTTGTACAACATCTGTGGAGGTAAACACAGAGCAAGCAGGAAGTTGAAGACACCGATAGATCATTTCAAGTGGCTGGGCTGCGCAGTGTAAAAATAGTCAGCTTTTATTACATCTGGAGAGTGCGTCCATATGTGGGTCTATTAAGATCCAGATTTTCACCGCTAATTGATAATCGCTTTTGACGTAAATGTGATTTTAAGTGCGATGTGGTGGCTTTATTACAGTATTTATTTATCTACTCGCAGCTCTTGGCTTGTATTTACTGGTCTCAAACAGGACTGCACCCTACATTATAAATGAACTGTAATAAAGTTATTGGCTAGTCCTGCGCCATTAGCTTTTAGACATTAGTCATACAGAGCCAAATAAGGTGCTTTTCTTATATGTTTGGAGTTAACCCAGTTGTACTCCACAACTGTATATACTGTATATACTGTATAAAACCACAATTTCAATTACATTTATTTCTATGTTATTATGTGTGTGCGGACTGGGTCGCCGAGGTCTCCGCCTTCGACTGCCGCCCAGTCCTCTCTGCACCGCTTCACCACGGACCCCTCTGCAGGTGGTGAGCCCACAGGAGGGACTGCCCACGTCATCCCTTCGGGCTGAGCCCGGCCGGGCCCCGTGGGCTAAGGCCCGGCCACCAGGCGCTCGCATACGGGCCCCGACCCCAGGCCTGGCTCCAGGGTGGGGCCCCGGCTGCGCCATGCCGGGCGACGTCACTGTTTTCGTGTTAGTGCTGTCCATGGTGTCTTCTGGACTGCTCTTTGTCTGACTCGTCACCTGAGACCTGTCTGCCATGGGAGGCCCTACCAGGGGCATGAAGCCCCAGACAGCATAGCTCCCAGGATCATCCGAGTACTCAAACTCCCCCACCACGTTAAGGTGGTAGTCCAGGGGGGAGATGGTTATATGGTTCTGTTCACTGTATTTATGGACAGAATATCTAGGCGCAGCCAGGGGTCGGAGGGGGTCCGGTTCGGAGACCACAGGATCTCATCTCTGCTGTTTGCGGACGATGTTGTCCTGTTGGCTCCAACGAACCAGGACCTGCAGCATGCACTGGGACGGTTTGCAGCCGAGTGTGAAGCGGCTGGGATGAGAATCAGCACCTCCAAATCCGAGGCCATGGTGCTCGACCAGAAAAAGGTGCCTTGCCCTCTGCAGGTGGGTGGAGAGGTCCTTCCTCAAGTGGAGGAGTTCAAGTATCTCGGGGTCTTGTTCACGAGTGAGGGAAGAATGGAGCGTGAGATTGACAGGCGGATCGGTGCAGCGTGCGCAGTGATGCGGTCGCTGTATCGGACCGTTGTGGTGAAGAGGGAGCTGAGCCGAAAGGCAAAGCTCTCGATTTACCGGTCAATCTTCGTTCCCTCCCTCACCTATGGTCATGAGCTTTGGGTAATGACCGAAAGAACGAGATCGCGGTTACAAGCGGTCGAAATGAGCTTCCTCCGCAGAGTGGCTGGGCGCTCCCTTAGAGATAGGGTGAGGAGCTCAGTCACACGGGAGGGGCTCGGAGTAGAACCGCTGCTTCTCCACGTCGAGAGGAACCAGTTGAGGTGGCTCGGGCATCTGTTCCGGATGCTTCCTGGACGCCTCCCTGGGGAGGTGTTCCGGGCACGCCCCACCGGGAGGAGGCCCCGCGGAAGACCCAGGACACGCTGGAGGGACTATGTCTCTCAGCTGGCCTTGGAACGCCTTGGGGTCCCCCCGGACGAGCTGGAGGAAGTGTGTGTGGATAGGGAAGTCTGGGCGTCTCTGCTTAGACTGCTGCCCCCGCGACCCGGCAACGGATAAAGCGGAAGAAAATGGATGGATGGATGGATCTATGTTATTATCTTGTAAATTGCTGCATTGTCTTTTCATACAGTGGCGTAAACATGAGCTCACAAGCAGCAGCAGTCAGGCAGATATGTGTGTTTGACTTTTGACTAATGAGTACCTGTCTCCAGTGTGTCTTGACAAAATAGGAAATATGCAGATACATACGTCATATTTTGTTTACATACATTATACATAATTCATATCGTCTCTAACATTTTTCTGATTTTATTGATCAGAAAAATATTAGAGAAGCTGCCTGTTGCATGCATGTTACCAATAGGGCTGGAAAGTCTCGTCCCAGAAGCACTACTGGTTCTTTGCTCGGATACTAACAAAGCGGCAGCTGTTTGAAGAGGCGGTTTAATGGAATGGTGCAAAATGCTCTGCTTGGTTTTTGGCTGTAATCATCAAAGTTTTTTAGGTTTCCCAAAGACCAACTGAAGCTGTGGGAAAAGCTATGCAGTTCTGATAAAACATTTTGTCTGATTTTACAGACAGTTAACTTGAATATGTATTAAAGCTAACTTGTAGCTCATTATAACCTGTAAATAGTGCGCGGCCGAGCTTTTAATTCTGGCTTGTATTTTATTTATTTGAGAGCTAAAGGAGGCACAATGCAGTTAAATAACATTTAACAAATGTTCAAATATAACAGAAAACGGACAATCATAATATTAGTATTAAATGAATTGGTAACCCAACTACATCATGTTATTTTTGACAGCACAGCAAAAAGGAAAAAGGCCGAATGTGAAGCTGCAGTGAGTGTGAAGTGGAGATAGAAAACTAATCATTCATATACAGTACATTGGCTTATAACCAAAGCAACAAAGATAGCATACCAACATACATTTATTTGCATGGGAATAGTGGTTCTACATTTTCTTTCTGATGCATAATAGTGGATTAAAAAACAATAAATTTGAACACGGCCCTGCACCTTTCTCATCTCCCCGTCATATAGAAACATCAGGACATGGCCAGAGTTCACAGCTAATTCCGACCGCTCACTCAGTTTTTCTGTCCCAGAGACGAAATGTGTCCAAAACAACACAGAAAAATCCATTTAGGAGGAAGAAGTCGGCGATCTCAGCTCCATACAACTGGCACGTGTGGTTTGTTTGTATCCGCGGTTGGAAATCTCGCACTTCCGCTTTCCAGCCCTATATGGCTAAATCAGATTGTTAAAGTTTAGGTATCTAAACCCCCCTATAAATAATACAAGTTGTTTGTCCCAATACTTTTTTCTATTGGGACAAACAACAAGCAAATTCAGACAAAAAAAAAGATGATTGGATTGGAGTGAGAGTGGTCCTGTCTTTTTCACTTTTCTGACAGAAAAAAGATGAAATGTTACTTAAATGTCACATATAATAGAGGGAACTGCAACTCAATGCACTTCACAAAGAATCAGGTACTAAACCTGTAAAGTGATCCAAAGACTTGAAAACCAGTGATCATAGAAGCAAACCGCTTTAGAGTCAGGAACTATAGAGACATTGATTTGATTACACAGTATTTATTACCTATACCTCCGGGCGGCACGGTGGCTGAGTGGATAGCACTCTCGCTTCTCAGCAAGAAGGTCCTGGGTTCGATTCCCGGCCGGACCAGGGCCTTTCTGAGTGGAGTTTGCATGTTCTCACCGTGTCTGCGTAGGTTTCCTCCGGGTACTCTGGTTTCCCCTACCACTAAAAATATGTCCAATAGTTCTGGCATGTGCCTCCTGTACTGGCGACCCCGCTCCCATCTCTGTGTGGAGTGAGAGACAAATGCCTGAAATTGACAATTGTAAACTGCTTTGAGACTCAGATCTGCAGTGAAAAGGTGATATATAAATAAAGGCTACTTACTACCTCATGCCCTTTTTCACATGGATGGTATTTGTCTTGTCATTTTAAGGCAAACCCCACCACTTGCCCCCACCGAGTAAAACAGAACAAATATATACAGGGATGGAATATAAAATACCGTCGCATTATAACTTCTGACATCAATGCATTTTATAGCTCATTGTTAAAGCTTTAATAATATCTTCCCGCCGCAAAAGTACAGGCAGATGCATTCATTGCTGGCCCCCCTAGGGTTGTATGCGGAGAGATTTTCACAAACATCACAAATTAGGCCCCTCGATGACCCATTTCCACACGAAATAAATTGACACAATGAATTATTCCATCCAATCTCGTGGCCCCCATAACGAGAAAGAAACCGAGAAGAGAGGATAAATTAGGGCGCTGTGATCGGACGCGTCTCATTTGTGTCATCAAAGTCATTTACGCACATTTCCTGTGTTTGCCCAATTTATTCTGTGATTTCTTACCCTCTTATGTGCACACACGGGCGAGGAAATAAAGAAATCCAGCCCAGTTAGAAGGAGTTGGCTGTGCTGTTTTTCTGTCCGAGTCAATTTAGGTCTAGAATGGATTCAAGGCTTTATGAATTAATGATGGCTTCGGTGATAACGAGGAGACATCATGGAGTATGTGGCAAAGTTTGTTCTGAGTCTGTTTCTTTAAGAAGATCTTTCATTCATTCATTAGGTTTGTATTCGGGGAAAAATGTGGATTTGCATAAACAATCACCGTGCGAGAGACTGATGGTTTGTGTGAAGAGGCAAACGGAAAAGGCCAGGAGCGAATTATGAATGTAAAAATAGTCTGTTCTGTATTTGAATATCGTTTGGGCGTTCGCAGCTGGAGGGAGAGGGCGGTGGAGACACGGTGGTGGTTGCGACAGAATTAAGCAATCATAAAATAATTATTTATTTAGGGATTTTTTTTTTCCATTTTATATTTATGATTTAAATTGAGCAGAAATAGGTACAATCAAACATTCATCATATTTTTGCCTACTGTACATACATTAATATATATAATTATACATAAGCAATATTTAAACAATTTTTAGTGTCCAATAAATGGCTGTATAAGTATGATTTATTATTATTATTATTATTATTGTTATTATTGAGAGTGGCTAGCATTCTCGCTTCTCAGCTAGAAGGTCCTGGGTTTGAATTGTGGTTAGAACAGGGTCGAGTTTGCATGTTCTCCTCGTGTATCAATTGCATATATGGTATACCGTCAAGAAGGCCTCGTATTTTTTATTTTCTCACGTGTTACTATTGTTTTTTCACTGCTGATCCTGAAGAACACCTGATGAAATTTGACCCACTAATCTTTCTTAAACTGTTGGTCGTGGTTCAACATTTGCATTAAACCTAAAAACTTACAAACATAAAGGAAGTCTAACCTAAGCCTGTTTATAGTATTCTGGTACGTTTCATTTTTTAATCAGGTATTAGCAGCCATCTTTGTAATAATCATTGTACCTTTTTCATATTTTGCCCACCTCTGCTTTAGCGTTTGACCAACCCTTCAGTTTACTCCTGAGGTCCTTGCATGAAATAATTGTATGATTATGATGAGGAGTAATTGGTCGTTTTTCTGGTGTTTTCCATAGTATATTATAATAAATAGTGGCTCAACATGATTTGTGGCACATTTAGTTGCATTTATTGTCATATTGCTTTTACCTTATTAGAGTCATTCAAGACTAAACAATTACTAAAATAGATATGTGGTCAACCAATCATGAATTAATAAAAAGTATGGAGGAGGAGACTAGATCCAAGTTAAAAACCTCTGCAAACCAGACCATAAACAAATACATCTGTGTCCCATGATGCAACCCAAAACTATTTATCAAAACTCTGATTTTTTGGTTAAAGCTGGGGTACATAACTTATTTTTCACATACATAAAAATGCTTGGAGAAGTGTGTATGAGCCCTGAGACAAATTCACAATTTGAGGCTCTTGGCTGAGAGCTGATTGGCTGAGGGTGGTTCTCCATTATCTATTTTCTTAATATCCAGCCAGATACTGTATGTATATAATTTACTTATTTAGCTAGTTTAGAAGCATTGCAGCTACTTACATTATATATTTTGTGTGATCTTACTACTGTGAGATACAACGCCAACATCTCCCCACTGTGGAACGAAGAAAAGTTCTAATCGAATCTCATGCAACAAAAATACATGTGTGAAAACTAGTGATAAAACCAAACTGTTTTGAGCATAAAGAACTCGTAGATTGATTTTATACATAGTTATTTTAGTTTTGTTGTTTGAGTGATAGGTACCCCCAGCTTTAACCAAACATCTATGACATCAGCCAACTAAATCTACAACAAATGTTATTGAATTAAAATATAAGTCATGTCTGTCATTCTAAGCAGCTTTTATGATGCAGACTACAGTTGGGAAACACCTGTAAATGTACTCTGTGTCTCTGTATAAACGTATAATGCAACTTCCAAAGACCGGAGACCGTCCACACTAACAACAACAAAACGCCTCTCCTTATCTCTCCTTTCCTTCTTTGACAACGCCACTGTACTTTGACAAAAACAGGTCAGTAAGTTTGCCTGTCTAACCGCGCTCCTCTGTAGTGTTCCATATCAAAGGCACCAGTGCAAAACGAGCCGCCTAAACCCAGATCCAAACCTGGGATCCGCGGGGGATTGGGTTACTGTCACCGTTTTTTTGATCCAGTTTACATTCCGAGGTGCTTTCAAGTGCCTCTGACAGTACAAGACTATGGGCACATTTCCCATAAGGAGGTTCAGAGCCGCGGTGAGACTCGGTGTAGTTTCTCCAGCCTCTTCAAAGCCCGCTGCAGCAGACACACACACACTGCAGAGGCCTGTTTCATGTGCTCTGGCTCCTCCGTGTGGGTGATGTGGAGAAAGGCAAAGACCGCACTATACTAATGTGTTCTTTTAGGAAGCTGAGAGAATGTTGTGGGTTTGATCAAATAGATGTTTTTTGGGTGTTTTGCAAGAACGACTGCATGGCTTTGCCTGAAAATCAAGGCATTTACTCAATTCTGATGCTCTACCTCTGTTTATTCTTTTACCATGTCCTGTCTAAATTGTTGGGTCGAAAATGTAGGAAAACTGTTATAGATCACACTTACAATTGGCCAGTATTTTTGCTTTTAATGTATTTCATGTCCACTGTAGACAACCTTCAAACCCACTACTTATAGAAACAAAATATCTCAAAAGGCAGGACTCATGGCAGGATTTATTTTTCATTTTAAATCATGTTAGATAGAGATGCTATGGTGCTAAGATAGAGATACTCATCATAGTTACAGAGGAAGAAAGACATTTATCCTGTATCTCTCTGTGTGGAGTAAGCTTTGGAATGGATTAAAAGAAGAAACACAACCATCCAGGTTCAACCCAAATTCAATAGAATAAAATAAAAATGAAGGCCAGGTCTTCATTGATATTATTAAACTATAAAGGGCAAAATGTGTATTTCTTGCTAACTGTCAGCCATGGTTGTGTCCAAGACCATCTTTTATCTTTTTTTTTTTTTTTTTTTTTTTTTTTACAATAGTGCTTATAATTGGTTATTTTGTAACATAAATACAGATTTTGACCACATTAATAAATGAACAAATACGTATCAATTTTGGTTTCAAATTAAATGCATGATACATTTATGCAAAAAACAATGTGAATAGATCATCAGGGGCCTCAAGGGATCTTCTCATCAAGGGCCGTAGTGCAATAACATCTTCAGGGAGAGCAATCCCACCAGGACAAGCGTAGTGGACCTCATCTGTGTTGTTCATTCATGTCCGTGGCTCTCTGTGATGTGTCCCAACGGTTTAGGACCAAATCATGATCGTTCAAACGGTTCTCTTTATTGTTGCCCCATATAATTCTGCATAAACTATTATTCAAAATGTATCTTTATCATTTGGTTTTGTGTCTCCACAGTGACCATGGTGTTGTTCCTGGTTGCAGTCTCCACAGCCTTAAACCACTCCACTCATGACAACCAGACGAGTGGTACGTACTCTTGTGTATTCAATATCTCACTTTTCTTTTCCCGCGTCCTGCTCAGAGTGAGACCATGTGTGAGGCCCCAGGGTCTTTAAATCATTAAAATAGTGTTAAATGTGATTTTAAAAAGCCTTAAAAAGCTTTCACTACATGTAACAAAAAGGGAAATTACTTTTGAGAGATAGCAACATTAATTATTGTGGTACAAAATTGCCTGAAGCGTTGTCTCTTATACTCAACTAGACTCTAATGATGTCTGCGAAATATTGTTCCCAGATTCTCATATTGTCTCAAACTTTTCATGTGGTAAAATTGAAGCAAGGCAGGTTTATTTGTATCGCACAGTTCAGTTCAGTTTGCACAGATAAACAGAGCTGTTATTAAACCTGGATTTGATCATTTGAGTAGAAGCCTGTCTCACATTTTTGGGGATATTGTTCTAGATTATAGCTGCATGAATCTGAGAAGAAGAAAAAAAAACATGGGATGCAATATTCCTTGAACAGTATTTAAAGATCCCAATAAGTTAAATTTCAGCCTCCTCACCTGGGGCTATCCTATTTTATATAAGGACTTTTCTCCATGTTGTAAGATAGACACTGCAGACACCATTGAGTTTATTGGATTGGAAAGTACATACACTTACAGGCTGTTTTATTCAGAGCTTGGCTGGAAGAAGTGAAATATAAAAATCGATAATGGAGCACTTTCTCCACAGAAAACCCCACTCATGAAGGCGCTCACGTGCTGCCCTCTACTCTGATCATCTCCCTGCTCCTCATCATCATCGTCCTGCTGACCATCTACTGCCTAAGGTAACTCTCCCATCTTACTCTTTCATTACAGCATATTTATAATACTATGGCCTTCACTGGATGAGACATTTTGACAAACTCTCTATACTGCAGGTGATTTTCTGTCTGTCTGACTCCAAAGCCCTCGTAACTTGTGCTGGGCTAAGTGTGTTAGTATGTTATTGTAACTCCTGTTTGTCCGAAGATTACAAAATTATAATGAAAACGTAACACACATTTCAAAATATTGCACGTCTCCACTTCGTCCATCAGATGTCTTTACACATGAATTTAATAGACTCTCTTTTGCTCTGTAACCTCTATAAGCGATAATACAGGAAAAGATCATTCTAATTTCAATGTATTTTTGTGCAGCCCTAAATCAGAACAGCGGTCGCCTCGGTGGACAGATCAGAGAATCAAACAGTTCGAACAAAGAAAATGCAATAATGACAAACACATAGAGGCTGAGGAACAACTGAAAAAAGAAACCTTGGGGAGGCCCATATGGAGAGAGAGATCCAATCCCACAGAAAGGCTCTGGATCCAGGACTCAGGCTGTAGAACGAGGCCTTAAGGTGTGACAAAAAGCTCACTTTAAAACCAATAAAGAAACCTAACATTCTGTATTTAAAGTTTTATTGTTTTTAAGAATAAGTCACAAATAAGTTCCTAGTTTGTGACGTCTTGTTACTCACAATGGCAATGCAAATAATTCTGATTCTGGTATTGTCACGATACTAATTCTTAAACAAAAAGCACTTGACACCGCTGCAATTATTTATCAAGGTTCTTTTTGGACAATAAACCATGTTCCTTAACAACAATGAAAATCAAATGCATAAAAAGTAGTCAAATCCTGCCCTGTTTAAGTAATTTTGCATACATTGGTATCTTGTTTCAATACTGGTTTGTAGACAACCTATAACAATAAAAGACAAAAAGATTAAATATTGAGTAAAAAAGATTAAATGCATTTTTATTTACAGTTAACTCAATGTGATGTATGTACACCACATGAAAGAATATCATAATTTTATATATTTTAATTACGTTGTTGTTGTTGTTGTTTTGATCTAATTGTGTCCAATATCTGAGAGCCAGTGCATGTGTGTCATGTATGTGCAGTTGTAGGTCAGCGCACAGAGGATCCAGGGGGGGTGGGGGTCCGCGGTTTGGGAACAGACAGTCTGCAGTGGCTTCTGGGCAAACAGCTGAGTGTAGAGAGACTGCAAACAAACAATGCGAGGTCATGCGGGGCCGCGGACACTCATTTGGAGGATAGGCCGGAGACAACATGAAGAAAAGCCGCTTTGCTTCTCTCCCATGGTCCATATTGGCTTTAGAGTTTTGTGGGCTTGATATTATATTTACCCTTTAATCACTCTCTTGTCCTCCGCAGGTTCAAAAACCACAGGAAGGCTCTGGTTACCTCCGTGGATAAAAAGATCCCCAATGGCTTTCTGGAAGAACAAGGTACCATTGTGCATTTTGCCTTAAAACCTAATGCCTGCTTTTAATTTTTATCCCCGTTTTATTTGATTCTGGACATTCTTTATGGCATTGGAAAGTTGTGAATGTTATGAAGTTCAGCTGGAACTCTTTTCGTTTTTTTTTTGATCTGCAAACCCGTCCTCTTTCCCAGCACACGGGGACCCATATAAAGTTTCATTTAACAAAAAAATAATCGTGTGGAATTCTGAAAGGTGAGACAGTTTGGTTGGGCCGGTTATGTGTGCGCCATGTTTACGACTGTAGAAATCATGGCTGTCAGAGCGATCTTAACGGGCGGCGTGTATGTTTTCGCAGGTGCAACGCCAGGGCTCGGTAATGCCCTCTTAAGGGAGACGTTAGCATTGTGACGGCTGTATTTTGTTTTGTGTTTTTTTTGTACAGGGGAGCAGACAGTGGTCCTCCTCCCCAGATCGCCCTCGCCTTCCAAGAGGTACTTCCCCATCCCCCTGGACGCACTGGAGGAGGAATACCGGATACGCTCGGCTGATGACGGCAAACTCTTCAGAGAAGAGTTCAATGTAGGTTCTTTTTTTTTTTTTGTCTTCGCCGGTGGATTTGAACAAGTGTTAACAATCCAGGAAGAGCTTGAGCAAATATGTGGTTTTTCGAGGAAAGTCCAGTTCTTTATAATCGTGATCACATCTGGAAACACTGCTTTATATTACAGTGGGTCTGGGATCGTTTGTAACAAGAGAAAAACACTTCGCTATTGGCCCCAGAGCAGCACCATTTCTACATCCTCCTTAATCTAGAGGGCAGTGGTGATGATCCAGGGCACTCAACATTTAACATTTATGGACATTTTATCAACATTTATGGACATTTTATCAACATTTATGGACATTTAATCAACATTTATGGACATTTTATCAACATTCATGGACATTTTATCAACATTTATGGACATTTTATCAACATTTATGGACATTGGTCGCCTGCCTCTAAAGGGTTCACTTATTTATCTCGTAAAGAACTTATTTTTCTTTAGAATTCAATGGTCTTATACAACACAACTACACTAAATTAAATTACAATTACACAGGTTTTTAGCCAGAAAATTGGTTTTAATAAACTAAAATGTCTTATGTTAGGGTTATAACAATATTAAGTGTATTTGTTATTATTGTTAACTATTTTTTAAAGCCAAAACCATCAAAATTGTAACAAAGGCAATACATATATCACTTTGTATGTCTATAACTATCCTATGCCTGTCTTTTATTCTATTGTTTGCATTGCTATCCCATTTGTCTGGTATAGAATCAATAGAAGAGATAAACCGCCTAAACTATCAAAATAAAGTTATGTGTCACAGCATTTTGCCGAGTGGAGAAGCTGGAAAAGCGAGCCACAAAATTACATTTGTCCAGTATAGAAAAAACAAATAGATAGATAGATAGATGAGTTTTTGAGTTTCCCCTGCTCGTATAATATGCCTTATGTTTGATCCACTACATATGATTCACAGAACTACATTTAAACTGTTTCAGAGCATGCTATCAAAAAAGTTTCTATAGAAAAAGACCTTTCAAATACTATATCAATTATTATTATCTATTGGATAAAAAACATGAACACAGAATTTTATTTTGGACCATTATGTCTGACCACAGCTAAACTGGCCCAGTCCAATTCCAATCAAAGAAATCACATTGTAAAAGCCTGAGCATGTACAACTATCGTACGTGCCCCACATTTTGAGAACCTCTGGTGTGTTTGTGTGTATGTGTGTGTGTGTGTGTGTGTGCTTCCACAGCAGCACAGATTCACCAGAACCTTTGTAACAAGTACAGAGCCAAGTCGTAAAAATGTTATGTCAGTGGGCTGCCAGATATGAAAGTGTAAATCTCTTGAGATCTTCTGTCTTTTTTATAGTCGCTGCCGTGTTACTACCACCATGGGTCCTTTGAGGAGGCCAGTCGGGAGCACAACCGGGAGAAAAACAGATATCCAAACATTTTACCATGTGAGTGATTATCCCAGTTCCCCGCCATGTGATATTATTGTAACCTTTAAAGCCGCAAGTTTTATTGATCACTAAATCTAAGGGCAGCAGATGTGGGGGAAAAAAAAATCAAAGTGTTATTTACTGGTCTTTTCTTCACCTTCGCAGATGACCATTCCAGAGTGGTGTTGAGCCATATAGATGGCCATCCCTGCTCAGACTACATCAATGCGTCGTATATAGATGTGAGTACGGAAGGATTTTGAAGAATTGTTGGAATAGAAGGGAGATTTGTGCATAAGTGTGTGCTTACGGATCCACAAAAAGCTACTTAGTCAGCTGAAAAAGACTAAAGCTTTTGTTTGGTCCACTAGAGATGATTGGAACTATTATTGAGTATGTTAATAATGTTATACTGTATCTAACTATCTAGGTATGTTTCTTAAAGCTGGGGTAGCAAACGTTTTTTTTTTCATGAAGGTTTTTATCTGTGTCTTAACATAGAATCCTGTAAAAGTAACTTTCTGTGAATATCTCAGACCACGACATGCTGCTCTTATCGTATTAGAGCAGACGATAGCTGTATATACTTTATAAAGAGAGCCCTGTGAGTCACTATTTGACATTTTGGGCTAAGATCTGATTGGCTAAGGGAGGTTTTTCACTATTCTGCCTGAAAAACCTGATTTAAAAATATATATTAAAACCCTCTATGGCATGACTTTTTATTTTAGGGGGAAAAAAATATTTCAACACACTTTTTAAGAGCTCGTGGGTCCCTAATAACATATTGATCTTTACATTTGACCCCCCCCCCCCCCCCCACCCCCCCAATCAGATAATGGTTTGTTGCTTAAGGGCAACATTGTGCGACGAGGGTACTAAAACACCAAGGTTTTCAATATTACATTGAATTAGGAAAATAATAAAACAAATACATTAGAGAAGCTTTTATTCTTTTATTTTTCAAGCTCAACTTTTTTAAACGGGTACAGAGCACTCCAGATTGCAAAAACAAAAGCAAAAACAGTTCTGAGCCTCTAGTAAGTCACACAGCTGCGGGTCTCGGTAGCCTATTGTGTATGGAACAGCAAGAAGCAGTTGCTAGTGGCTGTGAAACATAGATGGACGCCACATTTCCTGCACTTGACCTTTGGAGTTCCTTTGCATCCAGGTACTTTGCATCTTCCCTTATTTTCAGCTATGACCATCCAGTGGGCTGTGGCGTCCAGGCGCACGTCAGGAACGGGAATGGGAGTAGCAGGTCCTCTTCTACACTTCTCCTCATGCTCCTCAGCAACTGTTGAACTTGGTCGACCTCTCTTGCGCTCCAGGTCCTTCCCAGTTTTGCACAGGCTTTCTGCAACGTAGGACTTGAACGTGTGCAGCTTCATCTGTTCCACTTTCCTCAGACCATTGTCAGTGCAATCTCTTCTGTAGAGCAGCCAGGCGGTCACAATCATCATGTCAATGAAGTGAAACACCAGCCGGTGGTACCACTTCTTTGACCGGATCTTGGAGCGGTACAATGCGATCAGGGAGTCAAGAAGATCCACCCCACCCATATTCTTATTATACTCCCTCACTATGGCAGGTCGGGGCACTTTGATGACTTCCTTTCTCTTACGATCCCACCTATCTACCTCTGTGACAGGATATGCACACATGTAGTTGCTGAGGAGGCTGACAGACCGGTTGTCATACCACTTAATCGCATACAAGGTGGTGTTTCCAACCATGGCCGTCTTCTGTATGAAAGATCCTCGTCCAGATCTCTTCAGCTCAGCATCGGCTATCAAATTCACACCTGGTAGTCTGTTGCTGCGGACTGTACCAGTCGCGTGGATTCCCTCCTGTGCGAGTGTGAGGATGAGAGGGACACTTGTGAACCAGTTGTCAAAGAACAACTTGTAGTTCTTTATTTCCTCAGGCTCATCAGCTTGCCCATCTCCTTGAGAAAAAGGCAAGAAAAATTAAATTTGAATTGACCTAGTAATTGATCTATTATACTTTTCTTCACCCACCCATGCATACACAGGCGCAAACATGTACACACCCACATACGTTATTGAACACTGACTGACCCCTGACCTACTATTTTGCTCTCAAACCTGATTGTGGGGTCCACTCTTCTCCACTGTCACTCTCAAGCTCACTGTCCTCACTTTCGATTGGAATGTCCCTAACTCCTTCATTCTTGGACCCGTAAAACGTTATTGCATCCATTTCCTACAAGCAATAGTAGATAGATCAGAATGGAAGATAGAACAGCAAAAAACATTGAGTGTGGTGTTGATTATCCATTCAAGCACATCCCCAACCAGCAGCATTACACTGCCCAAACAAAAGTGCTACAACTGCATGATGTTGCCTTGAGGCAACAAACCTAAACATGCAGTTTTTGTATATAAATGGAAACAAAAAACATATATTAACAATCAAATATGCTTCTTAACATATTCATGCACAGTCACATATTTATTTTATCAAGTTTTTCGAATTTAAACATGTAGAAAAGTTATATTTATCCTACCTTTTTCTGGCACTGTGTCACTTGTGACTCTGCTTCCTGAAAGGACTGCTCCACCCCCAGACAATTGCCCCCACCCACTTCAGAACTTGATTTAATTGGACAGAAACATGTCTAGTAATTTTATAAAAAAAAAAAAAAAACATTAAAGGGCCAGTGTAAGAGCCAAAAGATTGGTTTGTTGCCCGAGGGCAACGGTATGCCATAGAGGGCTAAGGCAAACACTAGTGATAGAACTACACTGTACTAGTTAGATTTTATTACTTTTTTTTTTCAATATTTCTGGTTTGAAAGCTACATAACCCAGCTTTAATGAAAGCTCTCTGGTGTTAAGAACAATATGAAGCAGTTTTTTGTATGAATTGTGCTGTATTTACATAAATCGTCTTTATTTTCTTAATAATGCAAGTTTAAACTGTTCGCACCATTGGTCTATACATACAGTACAATAGGATACACACACACACACACACAATAGGATAGACACTTACATACAATAGGATACATACATACAATTGGATAGATAATAGATACACACACAAATACACACACACACACGCACACATACACACGTACATACAGAATATAGCAAGCATACGTACATACATACATACATACAGTAAATACATACAATAAGATAGATACATACAGACAAACTAAACAACATACAAATACCTTAGGATAGATACATACAAACACACATATACTGTACATATAATAGCACGCAAACCTACAATAAGATAAATACATACAAGCACACACACATCCATAACTATTACTATTCATTTTCGCCAGCACCAGCTCACATAACTGATTCACACAGCGTCTTGGTCTAATTTAACAGAATATAAAATGTTTGCTTTTTATCTCAGGGTTTCAAAGAGAAGAACAAATTCATCGCGGCTCAAGGTAACAGCTGTTTGAAAGGCGTCTTGTTTTGTTCTATGCAAATGAACGTGCGTCTTCAACGTCCTCATCTGCATCACAGGCCCTAAGCTGGAGACTCTGGCCGACTTCTGGAGAATGATCTGGGAACAAAAGACCTCCACCATCGTCATGCTCACCAACCTGAAAGAAAGGAAAGAGGTTAGTGCATACATTATTGCCTTTTGCTGCAATTTTACAACACTATTAAGCAGAAACGAGGAAATTAATTAACCCCGCAATCCACAGGGCTACCATACACAATTACCAAAAGCCCTTTTGTGATCTCATGACCCAAAGTCAAGGGTATAATTTATTTGACCCTTTCCCCATCTGAAGATCTATTCAAAGTGTCACCGGCAGATTACTTAGCCTCAAAGGGATGATCAATTGTGGGCTTAGCTGCAGGTTTGATATGGAGGAATAGAGGCAAAGAGGATCAATGCGGGAATAATTGTTGATAGATCCGCAGAGGGCACATGATAATTAGTCAGAGAATCTACTTAATGAGTTGAAACGTCACCGGCGTGATGTTATTGACTGACAGGGGAGCACAAAGTCGCTTTGATTACCTCGGAATTAGATGCTGAAATATTCACATGGCAGATACAGATGAGGGGAGGCTGTGAATGCAAACTCAGCGCCTCTGTTTGGTTGGGAGTCAAAGCCCTCGCTCAGGCAAACTAACTTTATGTCAGTGTTGGCTCAATCTACTTCCTGGTTTTCTTGGTTAAACCTTTTTCTTTATGACTTAGAACTGACTGCAAAAAGGTCCAGACTTTCGTTCCAAGACAAGGTTGAGCTTTCTGCTTGTGCATCTTCTCTCTGTTTTCAATGGACTTTTCTTTAATCCAAAGCACTTTTTGTAGTAATTTTTGTAGCACATTTTGTAAACAGTTTACAAAGTACTGCACACAAACAAAAATGTATTCAAATATATTATACAATTATCCAAGTACTGGTGTTTGTCCCAACAGAAAAAAGTCTTGTGAAAGCAAACATGTTATAGATAGAGCCCTGTGAGTCATTATGTGACGCTTTGGGCTGAGAAAAAAAGCTGATACAAACGTGTGACAGAGGCCAAAAATACATGCATGCAAAATCTGGGGATTGAGCCTGAGGTAGTAAGATATTTTTGATTACATAGTTCTACTGATTTGAAAGAGATCCTTTATTCGTCCCACAGTTTCAATAAAAGAATTTCAATACACCTCAATTTACAATACAATAGCACAGCTTGTTGCATACTCAAGCTTTAAACCCCAGATGAACACAAATTGGTGACAAACATCTGATATTGCCTGAAAAAAACGTTATCGTCCCATTCAAAAGAATTAGTCACACGACAAGAAATGATGAAAAATGAGTCAAAAATGGCACAAATTTGGCAAAATGTATCTTTTGTTGAGCACATTTCGATTGCCTGAAAACAAAATTTGCCAATGCGACAAAGCAAAATGATCTTGTTTTTAAGATGATACAAAAACGGTCGCCCTTGGAATGAGAAAATAAAGCAACACTTCTTGAAATAAGACTAAATGGCTTTGTCTTATTTGTTTCTTGTTTTAAAACAGTCAGAACGTTTTCAAACTAAGATTAAAAAACCACTAGATTCAAGCAATTACAACCTCACATTTGATCATTTTCACAGTGTTTTAAATCACCGTCTGTTCTCTCCTCAGGAAAAGTGTTACCAGTACTGGCCAGACAAAGGCTGCTGGATGTACGGCAACATCCGGGTTTCTATGGACGACGTGACTGTACTGGTGGACTACACTGTTAGAAAGTTCTGTGTGCAATATGTAAGTAAAGCCATCGGATTTATCTATTTTTCCCATTCCCTCACATGGGGTCTTGTTGTAATTAGTAGTAAAAAGCATTTGAATAAACCAGCCAGTACTAAAAACCAAACAGATAAAATTGTTTACTAAAAAGCTGTAAAATGTGGGTATGATTTTCTATAGTTTCAATTGGTATAAATATTAATTCGCATAATAGCTGTTTGTCATAAAAAATGTAAGACAAAGCGGGAGTGGAAAAAGTAATGCCACCCTTGGGAACTTTCTGATAAACTCTAATAGGATGCGAACCGTCATAAATAAATGAGAACCAGTATGGAAGCACATTAAAAGGCGGTATATAGTGCACAGTGTGAGAATTATCAATAGGCAGCGTATTTATTATTCACAGTTAGCAAATGCGATCTGAATCCATTTTTCACGTCTTGGAGAAACATCTCGCAGAAGATGGCTCACAGAGAATTTTGCTTTGTCTCCTCTGTGTTTGAAGATGTTCTCTGTCAGACTCTGAGCAAAGTTTAGATTTATGTGTGGCTGCTTTTCCGCGCAGTCTCATGTTAAATAGAACAAATTATTTTCCTACTCCAAACCAGTAAAAAGCGGTTGTTATAGACCTATTCCGCACTCATAAGTAGGTTGTGATACGCAGCTTTATAAATATGTAGCATTTTATTATGGTGATGATGGCTTAACAGGGCTGCATACGTTTGAGAAAAAAAGGAAAAGTATTTTAAAGTAGGTTTGATTTTGAAGTACAGTAGGATAAGATCAGAACTTTATTGATCTCACAATGGAGACATGTACATTAACAATAAGGTTATGTGTACAGATTGGGAATAACCTAGGAACACTATGAACCGAATAGAAAAATCCTATTAATTTGTACATTACAGAAGCAACCAGCTATTTTTATCCATACCGAGCGGACAATCTATTGATCCTGAATGTATTTATTCTAAATAAGAGCAGTCAAATTGAAATGTATTACTCTTAGGGCATAATATTAAAAAAGCTTGAGCAAATCAATTTTGTTTTTTAACCAGTATTATTTTTTATTTTTTTCATGTACAGGTTAAACTCAGAGGTTTAGGGTTAATGTTTTGTTTATTTCTGTTATTCAACTTAAAATATCAAATAATATATGATATACACTCATTATATAGAGCGACATTTGCCTTTCTTTGTTATAATGTTACAGTCCAGTTTCAAAATATTCAAATTTTCTGACATATTTAATTTGGGTATTTTTTACAAGCTGTGATACAATCTATTATATTAGTTTCACATTTGGACGTTGAATTTCAGAAGTAATAGGACTTTTAAACCATATTCTAATTTTCAGACATTCACCCGTATAAAACGCTAAGAAATAATGGCAATAAGCCCAAACCATTTAAGTCAAGAAGCCTAAAATAGGACCTATTGTTGAAAATAAAATCCAAATTGGAGGCTATTGCTCTATAATTGCTAAAACTATCATTTTGAGACATTGTGCAGCCGTAGTGCTTTTAACAAATGAGGTCATTAAAGGCGACTTTACTTGCAATCGCACCGCTTAAGTTCCCTCCAGCTGCACATATATTTAAGTTGATAAAAAGCCCCATTCTGCTCTGATCCGTCACTGTGCAGCCTTCAGCAGCAGAGGTCTGTGTGTGTGACTGTGTTATTGCATCACAGCAGGGCACTGATGGCCTGCGTGCTCCTCGACTGGTCACCCAGCTCCACTTCACCAGCTGGCCAGACTTCGGGGTGCCGTTCACGCCCATCGGCATGTTAAAATTTCTCAAGAAGGTCAAGAACATCAATCCATCCTACGCCGGGCCCATTGTGGTGCACTGCAGGTAAAATATAGCAGGGTCTCTGGCTGTACGGGGTTGTAACGAGGGGCATTCTGGGCTGGTGTTCGGTTTCCATTGATTTGGAAAATACAGCGTTTAACCGTGAAAGCAACGAAGCGGTTACCTGGAACTGGACTCAGGAATATGTCATGTTTCTGATGTGAAAAAGGTATATAGGGAAGGAGAAAAAAAGATGACGATTTTACCAGTGAATTTCTGTTGAACAAAATAAGTTCAATATTAGTTCATATAAGTTCATAGTATGTCTTACTGTATGGTATGACTGTATTGTGTTCTGACAGAAAGAGACTCGTTTCAGTAACTTTTCGTGAACAAATCTGAACACAACATGCATTTAATGATTTAGAAGCAAAAATTCATAAATATGACAAGGGATAAAAACAGTTTTAAGAGCAAAAAACTAGTGACGTTAATTGCATAGTTGTTTTTTGTGGTATCAAAGTGAGGTACACCAGCTCTAAACTACAGCCCACAGATATCTCCTTACACAATCCAAGACAGGGAGGTTAAAGTCAAATACATCAGGCTAAAAAGACACATTTGCTACAAGCAAAGCAAAAAAGGGTCAGACCCTGTATGGCTGTTAGTCATTTCAAGTGAAAACAGGCTCACAGACAAAAACAAGCACATGTCCTGAATATTAAATGAATAATCCATTGTTTCCTTATGGTTCTGTGCAGGCCGGTTCTTATACTAATCAAATACCATCTCAGGGGGCCAAGATAATTCATTTGCGGGCCTGATCTCGCTCGCGGGCCTTGACTTTGACACTCATGATCTAAGAGGTTGACACATCTATTAGAGGAAAACAAACACCTATTGCTTTACATCGAGTAAAATATACTTTCGACTTTACAACATATCTATTCACATTTTGATAAAGTTCTTGAAAACAGCTGGTATAAGGCTTTAAGGTAGTTAGTACTTCAATGCCGCACTATTCTATCTAGACAGGTTTATTTGAGCATTCAGCACTTTTCAATGTCTCTGTGTGTGAGTTTAATCCTTCCTCCTCAAAAAAAGAGTCATGAGAGGGGGGAAACATAAAATATATGTACTTGATTTCATACATATTCCAGGACCATTTTATAATGAACTGTAATTGGTCAGGCAGGATTTAGTCTAATGAAAATACATTTCAAAGAGAGGAGTTCCTAGACCGACGTTACTAATAAAGTGACAGATTCTTACTGGCCAGTCCACAAAACATGAGGTGTACGCATGTGAAACTAGATCTGCAATTTCCTCCGCAGATTTTGCACTGCAGGGCCAAACACTTTCACGTCTTGTTTAATATTAAAACGCTGAGTTAATAAAGATGGCTTTGTACCTCTACTTTTACAACTGAATTAGATCTTGGTGGACAGCCTGTTTTTATTCCGTAGGGCTTAAGCCGATTTCCATCTGTTCCTCAGTGCACTTAGTATTGTTACTGTAAGGCAGCCCGGTGGTACAGAAAGTGCTGCAACAGGTGCTGAGGGAGAGGGACTGTTGTTCTACAGGGGCCCCCAGAACCAGGCTTCAACACCCCACTGTGGAATCCCGGCTCTGGCCTCCCCAAGGCGCTGGCCGCTCAAATGACCCCAGTAAATCTATTAGAAGGCTCCGAGGGCAGCAGAGGTGAAGCACTTTTACACATGCTCTGGGCTGTCCGCGGTGGAAAGTTCAGGGAGGTTGACGTCTCTATCTCATTGAGCAGAGATGGAAGTATATTTTCAAATGATTGTGTGTAATAAAGAGAGATGTACAGTATGTGCTAAGGTCTGGGTAACGGAGGGAGGGCTCATAAGTCGCAGAGAATGGAGTTTTAAATAGACTTTTTTCATGATGTTCTGATCTGATGTAAGGATGTGAAAGACAAGATCCACAAGAGCGAGATGAGATTTTGTAATAATTTTATACAGTGCTTTTCAGTTTTCACCTTTAATTTCATTTTCTAAAAAGATTACATTTTTATATTGGGTCCATGAATTGAATTACAGAAAAAGAAATTGCCACAGATCTGTACACATGCCCAGAATCTTAAGACAATTAGCGAGAATTGTGACGGAGAGATCTTTATGAAAACTTGCGTAGCCCAACTTGGAACTTTTCCCCATCAAAATTGTTCAGATATTTATTCTATATTTTTTTTCTTCTTGCGGAAGTGTAAGAAAGAACCCAGTGAATTTCTGATTGACACTTCGGACTGAGATTGAGGGTGGTTCTGTCTTTTTCACTATTCTGTTAGAAAAATGACAAATGCCAAAAATCCATGCACGAAAACTAGTGATAGAACCGAATCAAAACCAGAAACTATAGCTGGATGGGTACAAGTTCCAAGTTACGTACACCAGCTTTATTACATCATATGCACTGTTGAGGGTTGTCCAAAATTGCTTACATCTCCGGCCTAAAATGTATGGATACTTGTATTGACATGGCAGCCCTGGTTCCTCCTGTAATGATATCGGAGGCCTTTTTACACGCTGTGAATTCTTTTTAACAACCCATATAAGAAGTCATTGCCGTATCATCGATGTGCCTCCGCTCTATAGCTCCCCAGTGACCGGCCTGTACCTTGTGTATTTGCTCCGCAGCGCCGGCGTGGGGAGGACCGGCACATTCATCGTCATCGACAGCATGATCGACATGATGCACATGGAACAGAGGCTGGACGTGTTCGGCTTTGTGAGCAGGATCCGGGAGCAGCGCTGTCAGCTCATCCAGACAGATGTAAGTGCTGACCCTGGCTGACCCGCTGTACCTGAGCCCCCCATCCCCCCCATCCCCCCCAAACCACACTGACAGCTCCACTCACTGCTACAGCCGCCGCGTAAACAAGTGAAACTATCACGGAGATGAGGCTGTGATTGGTTGTTTGCAGATTCTAGAATGTGGTGATGGGGTGGTGTCAGATTTATGAGGAAAAGGGCAAAGTGCAGTTTGGGAAATAAAGAATTCATAGCAATTTTTAATAACAAACCAAGCTGCTCTACTCTTAGGATGTGTTATATCTATCACTATCAATTCATTCTAACTATCTTAATTAATGGTCATTTAACGGTCGGCACTAGATCATATACGGAATCGGGACGGAAGCGGAAGTAAAGTATGCCTAAACTTAACCAGCCATTCCCAAAGAATAACCCTAACCTTAACCATCTTACTCAGACACCTAAAACTTAACCAGTCACCACTTAAGGACTTATTAGTCTAAAACTAATTCGAAAGTAAGATTGTTACTTCCGGTTTCGTCCCGATTCGGTATATGATCTAGAGCTGACCGTCATTTAATCTCTTGAGTTTAAAATGTTGACCAATTCTCAGAGAGGAAAACGTCTAAATGAACCTGTGGGTTTTCAGAAAATGTAAATTCTGACTGGATACACCTCCTAAAGTGCTAAGGAACAACATAAACTACATGCGATTGTCATTTGTGCAAGGTTTGGGGCAGAAACAAGTTAATAGGTCGGGCTTAACAGGCTAAAGTCATTTCTACTATTTAAGTGACTACTTCCTGCAGTGGCACTAGTTGCGACTAAAGGCAGGATTTGCTTTTCCCGCAGGTGATTCTTTGACTAAACTAAAGTCCGAGATCTTGTTATAATTTACATTGCATTCAATTGACCTGCTGCTTAGACCTGTTTTAGCTTTAGCTAAACATCTGTATAATCAAACAAAGAGTTATGTACAATAGTTAATGGTTGATTTATGGATATTATGTCAAGCTTCTTGAGCTTTCAACTTAAGTTTTCTTTTACACTTTTTGGTTTGATTCAAAGCTGAGATATTTAACCTTAAAACCCCCAAAAAGTAACTGTAATAAAATCCATTTACCAGTTTGTTTCTATCACCAGTTTCTACAAGGCCTTGGTCTCAGATACTTCAAACAGAAAAATGTCGCCCTCACTAAGGATAAGATTAGATGAAGACGGCATGTTTTGTTTGTCGACAAAATATAACTTTTCAAAGATTCTTTCAGAAAATATATAGGTCGGCTACCCCAGCTTTAATAATGATTTAAGGCTATACAGTTTGCTGTTTGATGAGTTGATGGATTTTTTCTGGAATTTCTCACATGTATTAGTAACACTGGTCATCCATTTGTGGTTTTCTCCACCAGACGTATCATATTAACACATAATCAGCACAACAATACCACCTCCCCACGAACCTATCCTCGCATCTAAAACCAATAAACGCTGTGATGTCTTGTTGCGCCCGGCCTCAGTGACAGTGGGGCTCTTTGATAAACTCACTTTGCTGCTTCCTGCCTGTCTGCTCCTCAGATGCAGTACTCCTTCATCTACCAGGCGCTGCTGGAGTACTATCTGTACGGAGACACGGAGCTGGATGTGTGCTCTCTGGAGGGCCATCTGCACCGGCTTCACAACACCAGGGCTCCACACGACAGAATGGGCCTAGAGGAGGAGTTCAGGGTAAGATAGAAACAGAAGAAAAAAAACCCCACAAAAACTCAAATATATCACTGTAACGGATCGTCCCGCACAAGCTCGCATCCGGATATGGAATATTTTTTCTTGGAATACTTGCCCTGGGTGCTGCTCTCGGCTGTAAATAACTGTTCTTTATATCTGCTGAAACTTTGGGGCGTATCCGTCTGCCGTATGAAATGTAAAGAAGATGCTTTATTTTTAAGTTGGTTGCAGTATAAAAAAAAAGTACTGCATAAACTGACCTTGAATGCATCTCAAATACACTAAGTCTCAGCACGAGCCCAGCGTCAGAGTTGTTGTACTCTTAGAATGCTTTAGTGACATAAAATTCCAATTTGTTTTACCGTTTTACAGTTGCCACATTAAGTCAATAAAAAATATTCTAAGCCACTTTCTCTTGCACACTTTTTCTCCTTTTTTGTATTTCTTTGTCAGCACTGAAAATACTTTGACAAAATTTGAACGAATTCACCTGCCCCTGATTTTTTATCTTTGAATATTATCAAGATTAGTTGTGAATGCCATATTTAATGAAGTCTAAATAAACTCTAAAGCTTCATATTCAACAGTTCTCCAATTTGATATAATCCAAAATATTGCCGAATGAGAAGCATGTGGAACAATTTCTTGCTTTCTACTTGAAGGTCTATAGGACGATTTTCCCAAATTTTAAAGTACCGCCCTCTCCACTTTTTGAACAAAACTCTCTGGTCTTATTGGACGAGCACCAGAATGATTGACACTTGGGAGGACCAATAGTCTTACTGATCCACCCGGAAGTAGAAAATCCTCCTAAATACCTTTAAGATATTATTTCACATTCTAGAACATGAGAGAACAAAGTAAAACCTATCATTTTCATTTCAACTGCCAAAATAGTGCATATGATTTCTTCTTCAAATCTTTTCAAGCTGGAAATGTCGTTATCCAACTACAGCCCCGTCTCTCAGAACATTTGATAAAACAGTTATCCATTGGCTTTCTCTCTCCCATCGTCACCTTATCTTTCCTCACATCTTCTCGTCCCATTAGAAGCTGACCAATGTCCGCATAATGAAGGAGAACATGAGAACGGGCAACCTCCCTGCCAACATGAAGAAGAACCGCGTGCTTCAGATCATCCCGTGTAAGGACGGCTCCTCCACTCTCACCGTTTTTATTATACATCACATCCAAGCTACTTCAAACATCGCCTGTGATTTTTTTTTTCCTTTTTTTTTTTCCTCCTTTGCCGAACATGGATTTCCTGCCAGTCAATCCATGTCCGTGTGATCAATGATACTTAAACAGAACTTGTATTTCGACTTGAAAGTTGCAAGTAAAGTGTGGAAGAAAGAACGCAACTTTTTTTTTGCTTTTTCAAATTCTATTTTAAAGGGCTGGCGTAGCTGGCAAACCTAATAACTTAGATATATTTTACATATGATGGAGAACTTTTTTGCTTTTCTTCAGATGATTTTAACCGGGTAATCCTGTCGGTAAAGAGAGGACAAGAGTTCACCGACTACATCAACGCATCCTTTATTGATGTAAGTTCTCCCTCACGACCCGGCGCTATAGATTTCCCATTGAAGTATAAATAAAGCTCATTGTTGCCTTCACAAACAATGCAAAATATGAGGTTTTGCTGCTCTCCTGAAGCTGTTGTTTACTGGGTTGCTCTTCCCTGCAGGGCTACAGGCAGAAGGACTATTTTATCGCGACCCAAGGCCCCCTGTCTCACACCGTGGAGGACTTCTGGAGGATGGTGTGGGAGTGGAGATGCCATTCAATCGTTATGCTCACCGAACTCAAGGAGCGAGAGCAGGTGAGGCACGCTGCAGTCTTGGAAAGAGAAGTTTTTAGGGGGGGAGAAAAAGAAGTGGAAATGTTTTATTGGGTTGATTTTTATTGAGGGCTGCTTTGAGGTCCGTTTTAGTCCTGTGCCAAAGCCTTACTCAGATTTTACAGGTGCTGAAAAAGTGCTCTTCCAATGGGGGTAATTATATTAAAATGTTTGAGTGTATACTGTATGAGTTTGTCTGTGGCGGTGGTCCGACCTGTGCGTGCGCCCACCTGGAACGTTTTAAAGGACGAGGCGAGTTTATCTGTATAGCACAATGCACACACAAGGAAACAAGTGTATTACAAAACAAGAAAAAAAACATCATCATATGATTAAAGCCTATAAGACAATACATTTTAAAATCATTTATGCTAGCCCAGTTTGTTTGTGTAGCACAGTTTATACACAAGATAACTTCCAAGGTGTTTTACAGACATTAAAATAAGCATGTTTTCAGTTAAAAATAACTGTATTTAACTTGGAATAGCGGCTGTAATATTAATTTTGTTCATAGTTCAATATTTCTATTTACATCTTGTGAATTTTGCAGAATTTCTGAATGAGGCTGTATCTAAAACATAATCAAGGCCAACTACAGAACAAATTATTTCTTTTCTAATTTGCTTCTATAAAAACAAATTGGAATTCATAAGCACTTGGATAACAGCACTTTTTTCGCTCTTCATTAAACCTTTTTCACATTATTTTTAGGAGGGGACTTTTAAATGGTTGTTAATCAAAATAAAAGCTGATGACTTTTCCATGTGACCTTTGTTTAACCAGGAGAAGTGTTACCAGTACTGGCCATCAGAGGGCAGTAAGACATTTGGAGATTACACGGTGGAGCTGACTGCAGATACACTTTGTGACACATTCTCCCTCAAAGACCTGGTGGTCACTTATAAAACGGTGCGTATGGCTCTATTCCCTTCAAACAAACTACAAATAATGTGTTTGAATTCAAAGTTGATTTTTTTTTTTCTTCACTTGTCAGAAGCGATTAATCTGTTGACATTTGACATAAGTATGACAGTGATGTTTAGCTACATGGATTTAACTGTCTGGTTTTCCCGTCATGCCAGGAGAAGCAGTCACAACACGTTCGACACTTCCACTTCCACGGATGGCCTGAGATCGGAATACCAGCGGAGGGAAGAGGGATGATTGACATTATTGCTGCTGTGCAGAGGCAGCAGCAGCAGTCTGGAAACCATCCCATAATTGTCCACTGCAGGTGAGGAAGTTCATTTTAACAATACGACAGCAGCCGAACTATTACGACATTCGCGTTGTCTTTCTATTTTTACGCTCAATACCAGATCATTAGAGATCACAAACATTATGAGATAGAGTTGCTATTTCTACGTCTGTAACAATCAAATGTACAGTTTGCCTCGGTAGACCCGGTGTTCTCTGCCTAAACCACTTATGTGATCCCTTATAAAGACTTAGCAGAGAAGCTTTGATCAGAACCTAGCTTCAGGTGAAGTGATTCTAAAGAAGCATGCCCCTCTGGGATTGATCCAATCCACTGATTCACAGTCAATTAAAACCTCTCAAAGTGAAATCTCCGCTGACTCCCACTATGATTAATCTGATAAGATGAGCTAACGACAGGAAATGGTGTCATCACTCTCGTCTATTCCTTCATCACCACTTGTCTAAGAGGGCTTTTTAAAGCTTTTTCTGCTGCCTCGCGGGAGTGGGGCTAACCCTCTGCAATCCCAAACGTCTCTCTGCGCTCCTCGCACGAATTGTATACCGAATGCAGCATGTCTCTCTCTGGCATCATTGCAAACATTGACTCAGTCCAACAGCAGCCACCAAACTGATTAGTGTTAGCATTGGATTAGTCTCTTTAAGTGAGGATGATTATTACCGCTTTACACAGAGGTCACCTTTTCTCTGATAAACTTTTCAATTTAAAAGAAACAAATGTGCAAACGAGGAGCAGAGACATTGTGCTGCCAAATGTGTGCCTGCGACACTGTCCAAACGACGCTGATGCAGACACACACATAATATAAATAGTTGTTGTTTTTTATATCCCCCCTTATACTACTCATTCATAAAATCATTAACTGCAAGTCAAATTACTGGCTAAAATGTACCACTCCACAGAGAGAGCACAGCAGCTGTTAACATAAACATGCAGATGATAGATGCTGAGATAAATTGTTCTGAGGTCCCCCCCTCCTGCATACGTTTCTAATTACGCCCCTCTCTGAATGTGTCAATGATCCGAGTCAATTGGAATTCTGAAAGAAATCCCAGAGTTTTCCAAGGTCTAAAGTGGGTATTGTGGGATGTGTTTGCTGACCGACTTGTCCTTGGTGTGTGCAGTGCCGGAGCAGGTCGGACGGGAACATTCATTGCCCTCAGTAACATTCTAGAGAGAGTGAAAGCTGAAGGCCTCCTCGATGTGTTTCAGACCATCAAAAGTTTACGCATGCAAAGGCCACACATGGTGCAGACTGTGGTAGGTGCCTCACACAAACATCATTCATTCAAAATGCATGTAGATAATAATAATAACCTTCACTGGTGTTTGCAGGAGCAGTACGACTTCTGCTACAGGGTGGTGCAGGATTTTGTTGACATTTTTTCAGACTACGCCAACTTCAAGTAATTTGTGCTCCCACTGTTCATGGTACCTTTTTTATGCAATTTTTCTGAATGTTCTTTTCTAAAGCAAACTCTTTTACACTCATCATTGTCAACATGTGTTGTAACGTATAGTAATGTTATATTTTAAATGTGCTCCTAAAAAATAAGTAGTACATTGTGATTTACTACTGCAAGGGTTCGTAAAGCCTGTTTAGGTTAATATATTTAAACAGTAGGGTGTGTTGCAAAACGGCAGCACTTGTAAGGGATGTCCATCAAATGTAATGACTTTATCTGTGTATACATTATATTGTATAATATCAATTTGTTTAAATGAACACAATTGTATCTTATCTGTAATATTTATTTGAACAACCACAATGCCTTGGTCTATTACTATATTATTATTGTTATTGTTGTTATTATTATTATTATTATTTGTGCCCTCATAAACAGGAATTCTATGAAAGACACTATTCCAGTAGACACACTGCAAATGACCTCACTTCTGTCTGTGAATAACTTAGCAGCTTCTGCCTGTTGTAATTGTATTCAACTTCGCCAACTTTCTTTGCCTTTGGCAAAATGACGTATCAGTTTGAAGCCTGATGCTGCAAACTGAAAACAGACAAATGAAACAGGCAATTAATTATTCTTATAGGAAATCAGCAGTATTCACTCCGACATAAAAAGGTTTTACAGTCATTTTTGTGCACGTTAAGTTAAATTCCTGTCTGTGAATGCAGTGCCATATGGATTAGAATGACTATTCTAATCATGCAAACTTGTCACCAAGTGACACAATTTATTATTTATTTCCATGTTTATTTAGTTTATATTTATTTAGTGACAATATTAATACAGACACACACATATGTGCTAATGTGCTTTGTGCAATGCTTTATTATTGCATTGCATCTTTTGCATCTTATTGGATAAGAGGGTAGTAAACAATTAGTTTAAGAAACGTTGTTGTAAAAATAATAGGTTTTCGGTAAAACAGGCTACAATTACAAAAATGTTTTTGAATGATAGTAGATATTTAGGGCTACAACATGAGCCATATCTAAGATAATTCTGAACTTTTAAATATGTAGTAAGCTGTGGTAGATTTTCTGCATAATAAATACTATATTTTTCCTACTGATTTCCCACTTTTAGAGGCCTCAACCATCTAAGGACAATAGAATGTTCATCAGAAAAACACACTACACTTGTTCAAATGTGAAAGTTTTATTTTTGAATCAAATGTGAGCCTTGGGCTGATGTTTGACAGATTTCACCCTGTTTTTGAAGTCCACCTGCCCCTTGACTGTGTATGGACTTGAACTGCTATTTGTTGCTAAAAGCTGACTCCAATAAATTATATATGGGCGGAAATGCCATATTACATCTTGTTGTCCTTTTTATGTGCCTCTGTAAGGATGCGTTCACTGGCCTCACAAACAAGTGGGGAAGATGATGTTGTTTTATATTTAATGCTGTTTGAACACCCGCGGTGATGTCAGCATATCTGAGCACTTAGGCGGATCCATTAGTAGTATTTTGTGTCCCATTAGTCCCTGAATGTGTCACACACCTGCAGAGAGGGGATTATGGCCCCGACAGCTGCCTCTTGCGGCACCTATAAAGCCCCCCTCTGGCTAATGCTGCACATGCTAACAAGGCAAACACAGAGGTGAGTGACTCCTCCGCACACGCACTCTTACTCCATGGTCATTACCTTATCATTACGCACTTTATTAATTACCGCCTTAAGTATTGTTGAGATGATGTTTTATTGCGTTCTAGTGCGCTGGGTGTGCTTCGGCGCGCTGCAATGGGAGGTGGTGACATGATATAGTTCATTAAAAAGTTTGTTTGTATCCCTCCGCAGCGCAAATGGAAACTAGCTACAGTAGCAAAGTGGTGGTGCAGGTGTTTGTGATGGCGCTAGTGCTGCAGGTCACGCTGTCCCAACACTGGTCCTACGGCTGGTTACCGGGAGGCAAGAGAAGCGTGGGAGAGCTGGAGGCGACCATTAGAGTAAGTATAGTAAAACAGAACAATTGTGTGTAATAATGAACGTATAAAATAAAATAAAAAAAAAGTTCTTGGTTTGCTGCACTTGGCTAAACATGGCGCGTAAAAAGTTGGTAGCGCGCGCCATGTCTATTAAAGGGCCTCCTAATTGAATAATGTCGACTGGAAATGTCCATTTATTGTGCTTAGATGATGGGTACGGGAGGTGTGGTGTCTCTTCCAGATGAGACAAGTGCCCAAACCCAGGAGAGGCTCAGACCATACAATGTAGTAAGTGCTTATTATACATAATTTATGACCAATGTCTACTTCAATTGTACAATATTAATGGGCGCTATAGTTGTGTGTGCCATTGTGTTCCAAAGCAGCAATGACAATACACAAACCGTGCAATGACTGTTTTTATCTTTTTCTTTGTGCATGACTGAGTGCGTGCATGCGTAATTGTGCCGTTTTGGGTGACTGTGCGTGAGCTTTGTCCAGCCTTATTTAGCAGAGCGCTTATAACGTTTGCCGAATGAAATATTTACGATGCAGATCAAGCTAACTAAATTTCAATCTTTTTAGATTAATGATGTTCCCAGTCATTTCGACCGAAAGAAAAAGTTCCCCTCTGAATAAAAATGAGAATAACTAACAGACTGTGATAAGATGGGGATGATGAGTGAAGAAAGTTGTCTTCATATATTTATGTATTCATATTCATCACAGAGATGTCGATGTTTATGTATGTTACATTGATATCACTGTTACATTGTAATAAAGTTTTGAATCTGATTTTTTTTATTTGCTTGTTATGGGAAGAGTGCTCCCTTTCCTTTCCAGTCAGTGCAATCATAATGATACTGTATAATAAAATATTAATCATATAAAATGTTCTTTTAAAAGCCTTTGAATAGATTCACTTGTCTTTGTATAGCAGCCACGACCGACAAGCATGACAAACTTGTGACACAACAATCTTTCCATGACAACAGCTGGCGATTAAGCCAATTTATTAGAAATCAATGAGTTAATTAAATTTGCTCCACTTTTGGTAATTTCATTTTCTGCCACAGCAGTCAAGTGCAAACGCCATGTGGAAAATTACACCATGTGATCTGAATCTGCTTGTACCTGACTGGTGATTAGCCCCAGCACACAATTGAATCGTTCTAACCACATTCAACGAGTATAACAACAAAAACAGCTTTACTCGAAATTCAAGATAGCTGCACTCATCCAAAACAAAACTAGACTGTGCAACTTTCCCCCCTCTCCGTGCAGGAAATTGGTGTTCATTATAAAAATTGGAATTTCATATCAGGAAAGGAAAGGGAATCAGCAGGGGGCATATGTTTTAAAGAGAACTCATTTTCTGGCAAAGCCCCACAGACGGAGCACCATACTAATCGCCTGGTGCATAAGGGGCGAGGATTCATGAACTGTGCTGACACCGGGGAGGGCCGCGCATTGTTAGAGCGTGGTTGTAATGCACACCAATGAACCCAAAACCCCTTCACACAACTGGGAGAAGGTGAACATTATAAAAAGCACATAGAATTAAAGGAAAAATTAAAAAACACATTCCCTTGCACTTCCAGAACAATGCCCGTTCATTTCCACATTTAATATTCACAGCTGTAATTTGCATAACTCACACGTTCCCCTTTGAAGCATAGTTTTGAAAAGTGCCGTATACATTGACAAAGTTACTGAATGAAATCCACTGTAGACCATGTTGTTTTGAGTTTCCCCCTACCTTTCAGCAATTTCGCAACATCCTCATAAAAAGATAATTAAGCTTGTATATTATTTTTCTAAAATATGACTTTAATTCAATTGCAGAATAATTAATGTTTGCAGATAACACATGAAAAATCATAAATTCCCTTTAAAAATCCCCAAAGCGCTTGCCGCAAAACTCAACTTTCTCTTTCCCAGTGTCCTCATCAAGGACCTGGCTAATTGCACGTACATCAGGACAACAAAACCTGCTGGTATCTATGTTTCCAAATTTGATTTAACCTCACTTTCTCCTTCCCAGACCCCCTGGTGGATATTCACTTTGTTTACCTCAAATTAAACTTCATATTGTTTACAGCCTCCCAGTCCCTGAACATTTTATAGCATTTTAGAATTATTTCTTTATTTATTTTTTGTAATGATTGTAGAGTTGGGATTCATTTGAACGTTTCCCCTCATCTGCATGAAAATTATATAATTAACTTTTGATTAACCAGCTCAGTTGAGTTGGTTCCCCCATGCACACCGGTGAATAGTACCCACCGCATTTTAATGACTGTTTTCCAATTGAGTGGCGACCTTTTCATCAAAGAGCCACAACTGGGGCTAAACAACGCTAGAAAATAATCACGGTGAAGACAATAGTACGGGGGCCGGTGTCACCCTTAAATATAACAGCTCACATAAAGAGGCAGCGTGGAGCCGTGCCAAACGCCTGTGTTCCTGGATGCCCCATTGTCAAACCTGGGGAGGTCACATCCATTGGCATATAGAGAAGGAAAGGACAGGATGCGGAGAATGGTCCATTGTTAGGTGTCCTTGCTCTGAGGGAATTCCATTATGAAGGGCAATACATATTTGATACTTTGATTTTTAGTCCCATTCATTTGCTTGAAAAAACAGAACATATTTGGATAATAGCTGGAGGAAAAAGAAGGGTGGCGTTCAAGGCTATACGGCAGTCACACATTAACGCACCTGCCAATCAAGTCGATCCCAGCAGCTGCGCATCCCACCATCATAAATAAGCAGTCTCTCATACGCACATTATGTACTTTTATATTTCATCAACATTATGCTCCATGAGTATGTTTCTTCTGTTGGGTCAGGATGAAACTTTTATTGCAACATGCTGTATGATAAAGTCATTTTGCAGGTGCTTGTTGTGGCTCTTATTATGAACAGAATGATAATTTCCCCTAGAGGAATCCGGCACTGCATATCAATTGAAGTTTAGTGTGGGTCTTACTATGTTCCCGCAGGCTATAGTAGAAGGCAAAGTCATCTTCAGAGAGAGTCTAAATGTCAGGGAGGTCTTCAAACCTTTTTTTCCCCAAGCTTTAGTGAAAAGGCCCTTTGGAAGTACATTGTCTTGGAACTAAGATTTGGCCGAGGTGATGGAGAGGCGACAGACTTAATGTAAAGCAGTTGACAAAGGCGTTAATTGGAAGGATATATATAAATACCCAAGACAGGGAAGAGAGCGCAGAATATATGAGAACTGACTGCTTGCTCCTTGCTGTGGGGAGGCCAAGAGTCAATATTGCCATGTCCCAGAGTGGCCACATGGTGACACTCTTGAGCTGTGCGTTTTGCATGTGATTCTTGGCTGTCAATCCTGCAGCAATTCCATCAGTTAAGTTGGAGAAACTGTATTAGTGTAACTCGGAGAAAATCTCACATCAATCAAATGTGGGTTTGCAAAAAAAAGAAGGCAGTTAATCTTATCTCAAATTTACAGATACATTTTGGAGTTGATTGTAATGTTTATGCTGACACATTATGAGTAAATGGCATCAATAAAGATTAAAAAAAGTTTTAATTTTAAGCTACAAAAATATAATTTGTTTAAGTGTCACATTTTTGCAGTTTAGTGTATATATACTTTTTTCCCCCACAGACGAGCTGGAAGTTGTATCGAAGCATGTACAGTAGAATTGGCCTTCGCTTCTTCGTCTTGGCTGGCAGGGAACCTTCCTGTTGTGATACGACTTCTCTGCTTTGATCAAAGAACAGTGTTAAAGCACTGGGAGAAGGAGAAGGTATGAAATATGAATGAATACAGCTGTGTTTTGATGGATATGTCTCAAAGTATCCCAGTAAGAGATTGCTAAAGGCCAGGAAATCTGTTTGTGTTGTGGAAATAGACTCTTCCTCGCTTGTTTCTTCACCGGGTAGCTTTTCACTTCATATTTTAGAGATCTTTTGTGAGAATAGAGATCAGCCACGTTTCATGAATTTGTCAGAGAAGTCTTCTAAGAGGGCTTAGTTTATAATATCGTTAATGGCACCATTTCCTTTGTTTGGTCTTAGAACCACCTCTTGAATGACTTATAGGCTGCTACAAGTTGAGGATATTTATTATTTTTCAAGGCTAGACCAAAGTTCTCACAGATGGAATCAGATCTTCTATATGTGGCGATGGAGGGTTTGTCACTAGTTATGTCTGTGATTCCATTTCCTTTGCTAGAGGCCCATTGGGGAACGGTGACTCATTTTGAAGTTGGAAGTTGATACTCTGGTGCAAAACAAATGATCCCATTTGAATTTAGAAAGAATGTTTCACATGTTCTGACTTTAATAAACAAAGATAATAAAGGAATACTCTCACAAACAGAGTCATTGGATTTTAAAAGGTTGTACATCTCTTTTATATGGCAGTGCAGTAGCTCTGTCTCATTAACAGTAATTTAAAGGCTTTCCTTTGTCATTTAGGAGAGTATTAACAACAGGGCAGCCTTCCTGGACCCGTTGCGGTCTCAGAAACATTGTACCAGGGCTTTATTAGCCTCACTAATAGCTGGGTCCCCGAAATGCAAGGGTCTGCCTCTGCTGGGACCAAGGGCTCAGATCCTGTCAGAGAGGGGTCGCACAAACCAACTGTAATCTTTAGGGTACTCCACTCCTGCCGACCTACATCTAACACCGGTTCCATCCCCCTTCGCTTACCCCCGACCGATGTCCTATCCCTCCCCAATCTGCTCGAGTCATCCCACCGAAGTTATGCCACCCTCGGCTTCATCCCTCCCACGACTTACCGCCCTCGTGCCATGGTTACCCTCACCCCGCCCCTACCTCCAACCCCAGTTTTTTTTTTAACCACCGGCGTCCGGCTGGCCACAGCGAGGAGTGTGCCTGATCCTGAGCTAATGGCAATTAGCCGTGTACGGCAAGCTGTGGAAAAGACTGGATCCCTGTCCATGTTTCAACCCTGGATCACGAGTCTCCAGCACGACTTCAAGGCGAAGCGTGCAATTAGCTACAATAATGATAATGTGTTGTATGGGAACAAAGAGAGGGTAAAACAGACCACTGGTGTGAGAGAGAGTGGGGTGCTAATAGTAGGGGGGTTATTTGAATGCCCTAGTGCAGATAGGAGACCAAATCAGACTGATTATCAAACGTATGATGAATTACATTTTTCCTCTAATTATCCTTGCCTTTTATGTGTAAACCAACTGAGTGAATTTTGCATTCTAGACATCTCTGGTCAGTGGTCTTTTGGCGTCACACTGGGGTTACGGCTTTTATTTCCTCCATGAAATATACAAGGAGTTACTCGTGGAGCCAAGCGGATGCACTGCTGACACGATTTTTCCCTTGACTTAATTAAATACTTTGAAAGAATATTTGGCAGCAGAACAACAAAGGGAACACAGAGAAGTACACAGTTTGATGGTTTTCTATCACAGATGTGTTGAAGCGGAGTCAAAACATGCTGGAAACAAACCACAATACCCAGACCACAAATAAGAGCATTTCAACTCAATGTTGTGCACAGATCCAGTCGAGAAGCACAATCGCATGCGTTACTTGTTGGAACACTAAGTGCAGCGCCTATTCTCTCCGCTGTGAGCAGAGACCATTCCTACAGTCTTACATCCAGAGGTTTATAGAGGATATTTTGCTGGGTGTTGTGCAAAACGAACCGTGTCCCCAGAGCTGCAGCAACTTCACCTTGGCGGAGTAATGCTGTGATATTCTGTTTATTCTTCACTCACTTCATTTTACTCAGAGGAAATCCTCTGGAGATGGCTTATCTTGGAGCTGGAACAGGTGCACTCTAATTTACTCCTATTGCTTGGGGAGCCCAGGGGCCCCTGTAGAGAAGAAAGTAGCGATGTAGCACACTCCACTGTAAAGCACAAACAGCCAGAGAAAGAGCATTTAATCGAAAGTGAGGAAAGCTGCGAGCTTTGAGCGAAGCCATATAATTTGGATGCAGAAACTCCCTTTTTACCTTGAGGAAGGAAATTCTTCATTTTATTTAACTTTCATTTGTTCAACACTGTTTACTTTCCTTGAAACTGTCATGATACTTGGCAAAGCACCAGATGATTCCTGGGACCTGTTGTATTACCCCTGCATAATTATGCATTACCGCAACAATCATTCCTCTTATCCCGCCATAGTAGAAAATACTATTTGCACACATAGACATTTACTTTGGTTAAAGTGTACATAAATGCTGATACCTTTGCCTATTTGCTTTGCATTTTTCAGTCTGGAAAAAAACAACTCTGTTTCATCTTTTACTCTCATTCCCTCACTCTGTAAAACAGCTAAGCTTTCAACTTTGAATTTACTTTCCAATTCCTTTTCTTTAGAGAACTATGGTTTTGAAGAGTGGAGCTAGTATGTTATTTGTTCGGTATATTATAAGTCTGAATTCAGTCAGTATTTTTGTTTTGTGTTGTTCGTCTCTTGGGAATTATGCAATCAAAGCAGATGCCTCAAGCAGTCTAGAAAGCGCCCCTTGTGAATAAGAGAAAATCTTGTACACAGCATTTTTGTATGTGTGTATGAAGAAGGAGGGCATGGCAACAAAGCAAATATATAGCATTGTTCTCCGTATTATATTACCTGCACACTGCACATTTTTAAAGACATTGTAACTACCTCACCTGAATCCATTTTTTTAAAAGTGACATCAATCTATTCTATTCCAATACAGCACTGTTAAAGCACTAACTAAAAGTGACTGATGCAATAGGGGTTCAACAGTCATTTCTCTGCATCTCAAGTCTATTATAGGAGTGTGGAGTTGCTGGTAGATATTTACAGTGTAGAAAACTGACATATTTCCCACTTCAAAAACAAACAAACTGAGAAACTGGCGTTGGAAAGAGGAGAATGGCAGGCTACAAGGACAACATGAGAAATATCATATACACTTTTAATGAGTGTGCCTGCCCCGAGCTGCTGTTTTAATCACCTTTCTGTGTGACATAATTTGCTGCAAGATTGTATATGCTTGAGGGACTTTCAGTTCTTGTCAACTCAAGAGCATTTGAAGCAATCAATACCTGTCTATCCTGTGGCACACTCATAGTTGGCCATTAGGAAAGAGCTGCTTAAAGTAAGCTCAGCCAATACCATTAGCCCTAGCCTAAGGGCAGTTCCATGCCTTAGTCAGGGTAGGCACCTGCCCCCATCACCCCCACCTCACCCCCTTAACCCCCTTGCACCCCTCCCCCTACCATTAAGAACCTCCCATGAGACATCATTTGGACACATCGGCCAAAGAGCACTTCTTTATTCCCTCTCTTTTCTTTGCCTGGCTCCAACAAAAATCAATACATCTCCCCTTTTTCTTATTTTCACAATTTTGCCTCAATATTATTCTCCACTCTGCCAGAAACCAATGGAGTACACTGTTTTTCCCCTTTCTCGCCTTTTCATCTACAATTTCCTGTGACTAATGTCTTGGTGACTAGCACTAAGTGGGGCAAAAAAGGGCAAATAATTAAATTATCTTTTGGTGAAGAAGGGGGGGTCAAAAGGAGTCCCACTGTGAGTGCAAATATGTTAAAACTGTTGGATGATTGTGCTTTTAGCGAATCTTTTCAGCCCTTAAGCTCATTGGATCTGATCTCTCATTTATTTTATTACACTGCAGACTCTGCAAAATGTTTTGCTTGGCATGTTGGTCTTGTTCTGCTCATTTGTTTCTGACACTCAATGAGGAAGACATCAGGGCTTAGATAAGTCCAACATAATGAGGAGTAAGTCTGTGAGTGCTGTTCTTCAGTGGCCATGTCAAAATACTAAACCCCGGAGAATACAGTCATGTATACAATCATCCCACAACTGCTTCTAATTTTGTCCTGAGGAATGAAGTTTTAAAACAAGTTGTAAAATAACCTATTTTTGAAGGCCTCCAGTCACTCACTGCCCTGACTGCTCTCTATTTCTACTGGTAAAAGTGGGGTGCTGCCCTTAATCTGGGCCAGTGCTGTTTACGATAATAACTCTGAAGAGTGATAGCCGGTTCCGCAGCACTGGCGATTTCTGTGGCCGTCTATATCGATCGGGGTCCTAATGAGCAGCAGCAGAGCTATGGCTAATGGTGTTGTGTCTGGTGTCTGCGGTAAACGCCCACGTTGAGATTATCATTCCCAAGGGAAGAGCAGAAAGGTTTTGCCAGCCCAAGCCCTCAGGGTGCGAGCGACACACTTCAGGGGTCAAGGTAAACTATCAAATGAACAGCCCTGCCTTCGTCCTGCCTACTTTGAGGACTATACTGGACTGCTACAAGAAAGGTTCACAACTATTTACCAGCCAATAAAATGTAAACAGGAAACACATTTTGATGTGTATTCAACATCATACCAAACTGTTGCAACACTTTGCCACTTCGCTTTTCCTAATTCCTCCACAGTAGTTGTAAAAAGCTATTACTGCAGCTTTCATGGAGACTTCACCAAACTGCCTAACTGTTATTAAGAGACCGCGATGAGACCTGGCTTGACAGACTGATAATGGCTTATTTGACTTCAGAGATTACCCTGGCACAAACATCTAACCCCCTTCACATACCCATGGCAGTCATTGTCCTTCGCTATACGCTGCCATTCTGGCAGTCTTGAGTGACATCCAACAAGTTCAGCAGAATCCCATTGCAAGTACACACCAGACACTACATTTGTATCTTCAGAAAAAAAGAAAGTTTGCATTGTAATAATGGGAGCTGTTGCACCCTCCATGAAGCTGGCAGTGAAATGAAAACATGCACTTTTGGGACACACAACTCGTAAAGCAACTTAAGCAATTAAGCTGATAAAACCACAGCAAGAATGCATCTTTACTACTGTGCCGAGTGCTTTGATTCAGCTGACTGTACCGCTGTGGCTTATCCTTGATGATATTCAACTCGGAGGATGCGTCAAGCATTACTATGGCATATTCCAATGAAGTCGACCCAATGCACAGAGCTTCTCGGAGTCATGCCCTGTTTGGAGTCACACTTCCATGTCCTGGCAAATGCTGAGCATGTAAAACAGAACTGTCAATTATTCAACATGAACAGGAGGATGTATGGAGTGACACAGGGGGTGGACAGGGGCCGACTAAGCCTCAGGCAGATAGGGGGTACCACTTTGATGTTAGTGTGTGGGCCTGTAGAGTTGAGCAAGGTGCAGTGGGTAATCTCCTTCAGCAACCCCCTCAAGCCCGGCACTCCTTCAATTCTTCCTCTCTCTTCCGAAAGGATTCTGAATTTCTTAGTCCCTGTCAATTTTACCACTACATTTTACCACTGGATTAAACAAACATTATTGCAGCGGGCACTGCTCACACATCGGCCAACACACACTGACATGAAAGGGATTTCCTTTGTCCATGAACAAAACAAGAGGAGGCACCAGTTGTTAAAGATAATAAAATTGTGAACAGTTGATTTTAGTGAAGTAACGCTGTTGCAGTGTCACAGGAACGGCATTACTCATTTATACAGTGAATAGCAAAAGTTATTCTTCTCTCTAGAGTCTCCTCTCGTAGTCTTACAATAGCAAGCTTAATTACATTAAGTTCTGTGAAGAAGGAAGTTAATGGATGACATTTTGCTACACCATGAGTGCTCCTTCCAATAACAATAGAAACCCAAATAAGAACTAATTAATATGCATTGCAGAACCAATGAACTTAATTGTCAAGTTGCTTTTATCAACCTGTCAAAGGATTGACAATTAAAACAGCCTCCGTTAAAACTTTAATGAGAAGCAAGTAGGAGAGAGGGATGATGAGGGAACAAAAAGATGCAAGCTTCATCCGTCATGAAAGACGCTACAAGACAACTACCCATTATTATTTCCTATCAGGATAAAACTATGCAAATCATGTTATGCATTTTTAAATAATGAGTCAATGAGTTATATTTAATTTATTACCTATACTCTTACAATGAATATTTAAAACTGTTTTGAAGCTGATGAATTTACTAGATCATTTGTTAATGCACTTTAGCTGGCTGTATTATTTTTACCAACTGGAATCGTCGTCTGCTCTTCATGCTGCCTTGGAATCTTTTTCCCATGCTGTGTCAGATAATTCAACCAGTTCAAGAAGTAAACTTTAAGAAGTCTTATGTCAAGAAGAGGAGGAGGGTTATGGCAGACCAGAGTGTAGACAGAGGCAGCATTTTGACTGAGTTTTTCTCTCCACATTGACACCAGCATGTCTATGTTCCATTGGGGCTCAAAAGTGCTGACTCACTCCCAGTGTGCTGGTTGTTGTTCTCCCTTACAGATGTGACCGTTAATAGGCCTGCATCCATAATCATTAGTGTGTCTCAGTGCACAGGTACCCGATGGGCCCCGTGCGTCTGCCATTTGGTTTCGGTTCACTGTGCTCGCCTGCAGATGTGAGCGAGACACACACCTGCTCAGGGGCTCTCAAACAGACCGCCGCCATCCGTCACAGCTCACGCTACACTCGCTCTGTCGGAACAAGGCCTTGGTTCCGGTCCAGCAGCCCTCAGACTGTAGGTCAGCGGGCGTCTCTCGTGATGAACCTGCCCTACCATGAATCATATCCTCTCATCCCTCCATACCCTCTTTACTCCTTCTACTCCCAACCCATGCTTTGCGCTCCCCTCAAACAACCACTCAAGCGCACTAAGGTCCTTCAGGTGAGCCAGGTAAAGACAGCACCTTAAAGAGAGACACAAACTAATGATCACGTTATCCCACATCCTGGACTCTACCTGCCAATAAGGCACAGTGTACTTGATAAAAAAGAGAAGAGAGGGGGTAAAAAGTTCCGTGTGGGTCTTTCATGGGCATCAGGCCACGCTTCACACTACATTTGTTGATGTGCGCATGCATGTGCACGTCTCATGCCAGCCCGCCTCCCATCAAGTCCTAATGAGGCCAGCTGGCTCTGTGCTCGGACCAAACCAAACTGGAGACGGCATCGTCCTGGCTCCCTCTGCCTTGTACACCCCCTCCTGCCTGACACCCACCCCCTTTTCTCCAGATATCTTGGAGAACCATGGACGGCTGAGCACACACGGCACATTTGGAAATGGTCAGTGTGTTTGTTAAAATCCACCATGTCTCCCAGATCCCTTGGCCGGGGCTTGAATTAGAAAGTCCGGGTTGCAGCCTCAGACTGGACTCCCCAGTTGCTTACTTCTACTACAGTGTTTTCTGCATCTACAACAGCAGCGGTGATGTTGAGGTCTGCTGTTGAACAGCGGAAAGGAGGAGATATACCCTGAGGCGCAGTCAAGGGAATATTGTTTCTGACTATGGAAAGAGAAGTGCAGCCAATGCTACATACATCTACAGCAACCACAATAAATACTCTCACATGAAATATATCTCAGGCAATGTGTATTTTCAAACCTATGCACATCTGGTTCCATATTTTCACCACATTGTGTCATATTTTCTTTAAACTTGTATTATCTGTCAAGATGTTGTGTTATTAGTCTACAGCAGTTAATTTCACTGCAGACTAATTAGAGAAATTCCACATATTAACAAGAATGATTTGTGATAAGGGCCAAACAGGTCTGTCAAGAGACTTCTATTGTCCAGGCTGTTATTTGGCTGCAGTCGTCTCCATGTGGGTGAGTAATTCCTCTCGCCTGCAATGTTTCCTTGACAACTAATAATACAGCCTCTAAGTGTCAGAAGAAAACCTGTGAAAATGTTTATTTACACGCTGGGAGCAGATGCATATGCATGTATTATCACATACCAAACACCATAGAATGTTGTCCTTACACATAAAAACTGTGCCCAAACAGCCACGATGTGTTTGTCAAAATAAATGGGTACACAAACAAAACCAATAATACGCAATTCACATTTTCAGCCTATCAGATTCTTCTCTGGAGACACAGACTTCATCTGAGTTCTTTTTTTTGCCCAGGAAGAGAGCCCAGACCAGGGGGAACACCTTAACAGGTAGCCCTGGGGTGCTCACCAGAGTTGGGGCAGCCAGGGGGAAGAGTGGCTGTGGGAAGCTGTACCACCACTATCCTCTCTGTCCACTGATTATGAAGCAGGTCCCAGACGGGTGCCTTCAGGAACCCCCCAGGCTACTCACAGCCTCCCTCTCCTCTGTTACAGGATCAGTCGCTGGGGGATTCGACTGAAGTGTGAACAGGGGTGTATGTGGGAGACGTGTAGAGAATTTTAAATGGGGATGTGCCTCTTTCATTTATTGTCTGTTAAGTTTAGACTTGGTTTCACATTCAGTGAATAAAGATGCATTATCCAACAAATTGTGATTCCCGATAAGTCAGACCTGACTCGTACATTCCCCAGACTCCTCAGCTGGGCAAAAACAAAGAAAACCATGACTCAAATCTAAAAGGAGCTACTTTTTATGTGCTACTAGATATGAGAGGATACGGTCTCAACACTTGGGTTCTGGTATAACCCCTTGTTGAGTTCTGAGGATGTCCCAAGTTTGTGAAAGCCCTCTGGCTTTAGCTGTTTCTGACATGTGCACATACATGTGAGTGTGTTTGTGTGTGACTAAAACTCCTATCAAAGTCCAAAAAAGAAGGGAAAAAAAATCATAACTAATGAGCCCATTTAGCGCCCAGCACCTGACTTTGGCCCATGATCTCCTGGAGACATTAGAGGCAATTTGCCATCGACTTCAGGGCTCGTGTCCCAAACGTTATCAATGAGCTTGTCAGGTAGAGACCTAACCTCCCTTTGTTTCCTTCTACACCCCCCTCTCGGCAGCGGTCCCCCAGCCCGCTCCCTAGGCCCCCGAAGAGGAACCAGCGGCATGATGTCACACACCTGTTTGGCTGGAGGCTGCGGCCCGGCGATGCTTACAGCCGTGGGTGTCACGTTGGCACCCCTCGCTCCCCCTTGTCGCCGCTTGCTACGCCCCGTGGATGTGTCAAAATGGCAGATGATGGTTGGGGTGTGTGCAGCTGCTTGGGAAGAGGAGTGCCAAGGGCGCTCATTTCCTGCGGTGAGTTTTAATTTGCTCTACTCAGAGCGTCTTCTAAAAAGAACCCCCACGCACACACATTCATCTACTCCTATAAACAGCCATCTTACCTCAGTGAAGACACACAGACAGTCTTGCTCTACCCATGGGGCTGGAACCCCACATGCCCGAATAGAGGCGGGAGCATAGGGAGATGGGATAGTGCCAGTCTTGAGTTTTTGGAAACATACTTTATACGAGACTTGAGTAAAACTCCAAACAGAATGTGTGCTCAAACGATCTAAGATGTGCATGTACAAATCACTTTTCAGAAGTATTCAGGTGGTAAAAGAGCACGTCACACACCCTGCTGGTAGAAAAGGCGGCTCGCATCACTGTGGAAAGTGAGGGGTCTATGTCTCTTGACATCTGCCGTGCAGTTGTCACTGATAACTTAAATCCCCATTGATCAGACAGCTAGAGAGAATTTGTGTTGCTGTTTTTTCCTAACTCCCACTTTGCGAACAAACCCATTTTCACACGGGGCACACGCATATACCTGACAGTTACACCCAAACAAGGCTTGCTGTTTACTCGAGAACAAACACGTAGATGCCAACCAGCAAATCTATTCTCAATACACACATCACCCCAGACGTAAAGAGATTCAATTTTCGCCTACCGGGAGTGTTTCCATTTTTTTGTGCAACAATTTTTTTTTCTCTCTCTCCTGTGTCAAGACATGCCTTTGATGTTAGCATCTAATATACAGGACTAAAAAACTATAGTTTGCTGTGAGCTGACAGATAAAACAGTGCAAGACGCCATTACCCTGCAAAGCGGAATAATGAGGAGACCTGAACACACAGAAGACAGGAGCCCAGTTGAATTACCGTGGTCTCTCATCCAAGGTGGGAGCTTTTTGACAGCTTTCCAGGCAGCACAACACATTACCATACTGACGCTGCTCTGTAGTGCCAAAGAAAAGCTTTGATGAAAACATAACTGGGAAACTGGGAAATCTTTATATGTGATGTGTGTGTTGGTTGCATGATGTGTAGTGTGTGTTTATGTGCGTATATACATGTTGGGCCGACATGGGAGTGTGTCAGTGCTTAAAAGTGTGTGTGAAACCACAAAGGCAGGACAACAATGAGAAACCAAGCAGTGTCAAGCTGTAACTTTATGTTCTCTAATTACTTAGCGTATACTGTTCTCGAGTTCTATTGGCCGCAATACAAGGGATTATTTTTGATTTATATCCATGTTGACTATTCTTAAATTATCAAAGTATTAAACCCAACTGACAATATGTCAAAAAGAAATTCTTCAAGTGCAGAGTAATACTGCCAAATTTACTCTGCCATTTCATTAATGTGGCTTGCTAGTTAGTTATCCATATTCTAACAGAGTAGGCTTGATGTTAGATCTTTGGCAAGGACACCCTGTTCTGAGTTTTGGCACGGTACTGTGCCGCAGTATGCTGCTGACTCTGGGTCTTAACGACAGGCTAAACGAAGCGGGCGTTACGGCCCCCTGGATAGGTCATTACTCGTCCGTGGCCAAGAGCTAAACTGGAGCAGGGCTTTTTAAAGAGGGGAGCAGGTGTGTTTCACCATAGGGGCTGGAGCCAGCCCAAGACCAAACAGCCTTAACGGTCTTTATCTCCTTCATAATGAGGCCACGCTCTCCACACACCCAACTCACCCACATGGGCTAGTGCTGGAGGTATGGAGACCTGGCCCTCCCCCTGGTTAAATGGTGACACTTTCAAAATGACCCATGCCCCGAGCATTGGAAGATGGCATGTCATGAATGTGGATACATTTGCTGATACAAGCGCTGCTTTATTTATGATAATTTCACTTGATAGTCCACAATCTGCCTGCATTAGCACTGCATGTAGGGAGCTATTTCAATATTATTTAATATTATTTAAGACTGCATGCGCAGTTTGTGTGTGTGTGTGCGCGCGTGCGTGAGTGCATGCACGTGCAGTGAGTGCGACTGAGTGCTATTGTCCCTCTCCTCTCTCACCTGTCTGAGTGGGTTCTCTGCACTGGTCCCTCTGCTCCCCACAGTCTTCTCAGCCCTGTCAGCCAAGTTGAACTTGATCAACATCAAACAGCATAGCATTCAAAAGTATTAGTGTTCTCTGTTGATGGGCCCTCTTGCTATCACAAATCAGTCCCCAAGCTCCTTCATTATTTATCTCTAATTCATCAGTGTTGTCTCCTCGCACACAGGCATTGATGCACACACATAAAGTGGATGTGAACACACTCAGAGGACACATAGTGCACTGCCACTAAATCTCAGATCACATTTAAACCACCACATTTCTGTACAAAGAAAGAATAGTGGACTATGTAAACTATGTGTGTGTTGTAATTAACAATTGAGATAATCAAGTAGTTAAGTACACTGACTATTCTTTTGATTAATTGATTAGTTGTTTAGATTGATTAAGAATACAAAAAACATTTCCATCTCATTTTGCAGTAATTACAGCTCTGTCTGTGTTATAACTTATTTTTTTCTTCAACCCTTAAAAGGTCCCATATTACACTTTTGGACTTTTCTCTGCTTTAAACATGATTACAGTGCTATTTGGCCTCATACACATGCCCAGAGTAGTTTTTTCATTGATTCTGTCAATCTTTAGTAAGAGAGCAATCTGTCTCCTTCACCCTCGAGAGGCAGTGAAACGCTCGGGTCCACTTCAGTGACGATAACCACTCTGATGACGAATATGACGCGCATAAGCCTATTTGCTTTGCCTATTTGTATTTAAAATGGTTTTTTAATACTGTTGTGAAAAGAGGACAAACAATACACAATAAGTATGCTGTTTGATGTCAAAAATAAGAAAAAGAAAAATAATACTAAAAGCCACGAGGTGATTGACAGATCAAAACAGCGAATCAGAGCGCGCAGCCAGCTTCCCAGTCCAGCTCAGTCCAGCTCCGAGTCCAGTTCACTTTGGAGAGACCCAAGAGGGAAAATGCAGTTAGAAGTTTGTTGATTGAGTATGTTTGGCGCCCTAGGCCCGGGAGAGATGCTGTTGAGTGCGGCGCTTGCTCGCGCGCATAATCCCCCCGGGGCCTAGGCACTGGTGACGGCAGAGGCAGTAGGTAAGCACGCTTCGATGAGAGAAGGAAGAGGTGGGGCGGCGGAGGCTTTGCAAACTTCAGAAGGCTGGGAAGTGGGCGTCTCCGGCTTTTAACTTGCTGTCCTGGTGGTTATTGGTGGATTAGATGTGGGCGTTTTGCTGGTGTAATGAGTAGAGGATAAGCAGGCTTGTAGATCTGGCAGCAGTGGCCGGGTCTACCACAGTGAACTTTCGCGAAGAGCTTCATTTCACTTTGGAGAGACCCAAGAGGGAAAATGCAGTTAGAAGTTTGTTGATTGAGTATGTTTGGCGCCCTAGGCCCGGGAGAGATGCTGTTGAGTGCGGCGCTTGCTCGCGCGCATAATCCCCAAAAACGGGCAGAGTTATCTTTGCGCGCCGGGACGTGAGCGCTCGCTTCACGATCAACCGGACGCTGCCTGGGACGTGAGCGCTCGCATCACAATCGATACCAGACACTGTAGCAGAGTTGTCTTTGAGCGCCGGGACGTGAGCGCTCGCATCACAATTTAACCGGACGCTGCCTGGGACGTGAGCGCTTGCATCACGATCGATACCAGACGCTGTAGCAGAGTTGTCTTTGAGCGCCGGGGCGTGAGCGCTCGCTTCACGATCAACCGGAACTGCCTGGGACGTGAGCGCTCGCATCACGATCGATACCAGACGCTGTCTGGGACGTGAGCGCTCGCATCACGATCGATACCAGACGCTGTAGCAGAGTTGTCTTTGAGCGCCGGGGCGTGAGCGCTCGCTTCACGATCAACCGGACGCTGCCTGGGACGTGAGCGCTCGCATCACGATCGATACCAGACGCTGTAGCAGAGTTATCTTTGAGCGCCGGGACGTGAGCGCTCGCATCACGATCAACCGGACGCTGTCTGGGACGTGAGCGCTCGCATCACGATCGGTACCAGACGCTGCAGTGGAGTTATCTTTAAGCGCCGGGACGTGAGCGCTCGCATCACGATCGATACCAGACGCTGAAGCAGAGTTATCTCTGAGCGCCGGGACGTGAGCGCACGCATCACGATCAACCGGACGCTGTCTGGGACGTGAGCGCTCGCATCACGATCGATACCAGACGCTGTAGCAGAGTTGTCTTTGAGCGCCGGGACGTGTGCGCTCGCATCACGATCAACCGGACGCTGTCTGGGACGTGAGCGCTCACATCACGATCGATACCAGACGCTGTAGCAGAGTTGTCTTTGAGCGCCGGGACGTGAGCGCTCGCATCACGATCAACCGGACGCTGTCTGGGACGTGAGCGCTCGCATCACGATCGATACCAGGCGCTGTAGCAGAGTTATCTTTGAGAAAGTGCGTGCCGCCACCAGAATCTTTATTGGATCACTTACTTTGCTTTGTATTGCTTTGCTGGGAGCTTACGAGGAAGCCAGTAGACGTTGTGCAGCCAGGATAGCGGACGCGTCTGGCCTGATGTAGGCGGAGAAAGCCGAAGAGGACCAGCGCCCCAGCTGTTGCAGAGAGGTGTGGGGGAGCCCCAGCGAGGCCGCGCGCGTGGCAGCGCCTATCCTGAAGGAGTGGGCTGTGTAGAGCTGGGGAGACAAATTACAGAGGAGCAGTAGGGATCTTAGTTGAGCTCTGAACCAGGTTGCTGTCATGGGAAGAATGTCTGGAGTGAGAAAGAGAGGTCCGTTAAAATCTCCTTTTTTGCAGCGGAGGCGAGTGTAACGCATCATGGACCTGTAGGGGCAGAGAGATGTGTCCGAGCGAGCTATTACTATATTGCAGGCTCCTTTGATTTTTTGAATGTTTGAGACGGAGGTTGAAATGGTCAGGGGACATTATGTTGGGTGAAAAAGAGCGACCTTTGTTTAATGCTTCCACTATGTCGAGATTATCACACATGACAGAGATCCTCTTTCTCTGCCACGTGTGATTCCACAGCGCGCAGCCACGACC